GGATGTGACCAACCTAAACACAAGAAATTATTTAGGCTTAAAACTAGGTTGAAAGGTACTGGGCTTACCAGCTAATAGAACCTAGCAACCCAATGATCAAAGCCCAAACTAAGATAAATAGAACCAGGTGCGCTGGCCCAGGGAAAAGCCCATTACCCATTGTGCTTAGCCTATATGAATTTGAAGGGGAAAATTGGGAGAGAAATACACGCTAGGTATGATCACTTTCGTCAAACCCTACTTCAACAGCTGTGTCTTTGGGTTTTTTTATTTGTAGTAATCACTTTATTTTTTAGGCAATCGAGTTGTGTCGGGTTTGTGCTGAACATTAATTAATCATAATCTAACTCCTTTAACTAATCATATCGTGTCGAGTTGACTTATTTATTTTCGTATCATATTCGTATTGATTCATATAAACTTTAAATAAAAAATTTAACGGTAAGATTGTATTTGCACTTAATTGAATTCATGCTCATACTTTTTCTATAAACTAAAAATTAACTTAATAAATATAATAATAATAATAAGTAAAAATATTTTTTTATACAATAATTATATCAGTGTTTAATAAACAGTTACAAATAAATAACATTTTATTTCTATAATAATTTTTTTTTTGGAGGCGAAGGGAGGGAGGGGGACTTGAACCTTTGACCTCAAGAAGATAAAACCTTATAAGGTAAAAAGTACCATTAAAATAATCGTATTAATTTCTATAATACTAATTAAACATGTTATTCGTATTACCATACAAACGAAAGATAGAGGAAGCGTAGATTCTTAACTAAGTACTTCAAAGTTATCATTATTTTGAAATTGCTAGACTTAAAATAGATTTCTCTACTTCCACAAGGAAAAAATAGTCTACATATTTTTGAATTGAGCCTATATTTTCTTTTTATACTATATCTAAATGGGTTAAGTATGTCAATTTTTTGATAAAAAATTATTAGGTCATGTTCGTGTCGTTAACAGGTCATTGTCGGGTTAGTGTTGACACGATTAAATAAATGAGTTGATTGTGTCAATTTCGAGTTTAGCAAGTTGAGTCCGAATACGACCTATTTATATTTTGGATTTGTGTGTCTAGTCATTTTTGAGTTTATGTTAAATTATAATCGAGTTCGTGTCGAATTTGAGTCATATTATTGTGTTTAGTCGAAAACTGCCGCCCACTAATTCCTCACTTTTTTTCCCACCTGTCATGGTTTTTTTTTTCATGTGTCACTTTTTTGTCACTGTTTTTTCCCTTGTGTCAATATTATTTTTTATGTTTCACTGTTATTTGTCATTATATTCCTGGCGTCACATAATAGTGTGGATTTATATTATGATTCACTTGTATTCTTGATATATATATACTAGTTATTTTTTGTGCCTGAGTAATAAAAAAAATGACCAACAATAAACATATTTGTATTTACACTTAAAATTAAATCATAAACATAATTGAGAGATACAAAAAATTTATAGAAATTTTTTATAAATTTGTAGTGTTGGTGGTGATAGGCGACAATGATGATGATAAGAGACAGTGATAATTGTGGTGGGTGATGCCAACTGTAGTGGTGATGGAAGTGATAGTGGTGGAGCGGTGGGTGTGGTAGGGTGGCGATAGTGGTGGCGATGATGGTGGAGCAGTGGGGGTGGCGGTGCTAGTGGTGGAGCGGTGGGGGTGGTGGTGATAGAGGTAATGGTGGAACAGTTTTAAACATAATTTTTTTTAAAAGTACTTATGAGAAATAATTCTTACAAACCCCTTTTAAAAAATTACTTTAAATACACTCTTAACGTCCTATTTTTCTATTAAATTTGAGATTTTAATATTAACTGTCAGATTAAATTTAAAAATAAAATTTAAAAAGATTTCAATCGCGAATAATAAAAGTAATTTTATTTATCTTTTGAAATTTAAATTGTATTGTACTTTATTATATAGATATAAAATAAAATACAAAAAATTTTGACTCCTAACTTATAAAATCGTTCAAACGTTTAAGATTGACCGATAAATATTCATAGTTAATCTGACATATAAAATTAGCTCTTCAAATTTATTTTTTTGCCCAAACGAATTTTATCCCGCCCAAAAAAATCTAACCCATTAAATCATGCAATTTATGATACATAATGTCTCTTAATTTCATTTTATCTCATATTTTTCGGATCCTACTATCTCATGCATCTTTCTTGAAGAATATATCCAACAACAAAAATTAATTTAACTATTCAAAAAATAATATTTTCTATTTTTCCTACTCACTTTTCAATACACACTAATAATTTTTTTATATTTTGAACTATTTTTTAGAATATTATTTTTTATTTTTGTGTATTATTTTTTTGGGGGTAGTGAGAGAGAGACCGGAGGAAAGGAAAGGAAAGGAAAATAAAGAAAATATTATAACTGCTTGTAATAAAATAACATTTTAAATGCTCTGAAAATATTTAGTTAGGGTGAAATTTTAATGTAAAATAGTTAAATTTTTGAATTTTTTTTTATACTTTAGCTCCTCCTTGCTCTAATATTCGGTATCCTAAGCAGCCCTCCCTCNTAAATAGAACCAGGTGCGCTGGCCCAGGGAAAAGCCCATTACCCATTGTGCTTAGCCTATATGAATTTGAAGGGGAAAATTGGGAGAGAAATACACGCTAGGTATGATCACTTTCGTCAAACCCTACTTCAACAGCTGTGTCTTTGGGTTTTTTTATTTGTAGTAATCACTTTATTTTTTAGGCAATCGAGTTGTGTCGGGTTTGTGCTGAACATTAATTAATCATAATCTAACTCCTTTAACTAATCATATCGTGTCGAGTTGACTTATTTATTTTCGTATCATATTCGTATTGATTCATATAAACTTTAAATAAAAAATTTAACGGTAAGATTGTATTTGCACTTAATTGAATTCATGCTCATACTTTTTCTATAAACTAAAAATTAACTTAATAAATATAATAATAATAATAAGTAAAAATATTTTTTTATACAATAATTATATCAGTGTTTAATAAACAGTTACAAATAAATAACATTTTATTTCTATAATAATTTTTTTTTTGGAGGCGAAGGGAGGGAGGGGGACTTGAACCTTTGACCTCAAGAAGATAAAACCTTATAAGGTAAAAAGTACCATTAAAATAATCGTATTAATTTCTATAATACTAATTAAACATGTTATTCGTATTACCATACAAACGAAAGATAGAGGAAGCGTAGATTCTTAACTAAGTACTTCAAAGTTATCATTATTTTGAAATTGCTAGACTTAAAATAGATTTCTCTACTTCCACAAGGAAAAAATAGTCTACATATTTTTGAATTGAGCCTATATTTTCTTTTTATACTATATCTAAATGGGTTAAGTATGTCAATTTTTTGATAAAAAATTATTAGGTCATGTTCGTGTCGTTAACAGGTCATTGTCGGGTTAGTGTTGACACGATTAAATAAATGAGTTGATTGTGTCAATTTCGAGTTTAGCAAGTTGAGTCCGAATACGACCTATTTATATTTTGGATTTGTGTGTCTAGTCATTTTTGAGTTTATGTTGAATTATAATCGAGTTCGTGTCGAATTTGAGTCATATTATTGTGTTTAGTCGAAAACTGCCGCCCACTAATTCCTCACTTTTTTTCCCACCTGTCATGGTTTTTTTTTTCATGTGTCACTTTTTTGTCACTGTTTTTTCCCTTGTGTCAATATTATTTTTTATGTTTCACTGTTATTTGTCATTATATTCCTGGCGTCACATAATAGTGTGGATTTATATTATGATTCACTTGTATTCTTGATATATATATACTAGTTATTTTTTGTGCCTGAGTAATAAAAAAAATGACCAACAATAAACATATTTGTATTTACACTTAAAATTAAATCATAAACATAATTGAGAGATACAAAAAATTTATAGAAATTTTTTATAAATTTGTAGTGTTGGTGGTGATAGGCGACAATGATGATGATAAGAGACAGTGATAATTGTGGTGGGTGATGCCAACTGTAGTGGTGATGGAAGTGATAGTGGTGGAGCGGTGGGTGTGGTAGGGTGGCGATAGTGGTGGCGATGATGGTGGAGCAGTGGGGGTGGCGGTGCTAGTGGTGGAGCGGTGGGGGTGGTGGTGATAGAGGTAATGGTGGAACAGTTTTAAACATAATTTTTTTTAAAAGTACTTATGAGAAATAATTCTTACAAACCCCTTTTAAAAAATTACTTTAAATACACTCTTAACGTCCTATTTTTCTATTAAATTTGAGATTTTAATATTAACTGTCAGATTAAATTTAAAAATAAAATTTAAAAAGATTTCAATCGCGAATAATAAAAGTAATTTTATTTATCTTTTGAAATTTAAATTGTATTGTACTTTATTATATAGATATAAAATAAAATACAAAAAATTTTGACTCCTAACTTATAAAATCGTTCAAACGTTTAAGATTGACCGATAAATATTCATAGTTAATCTGACATATAAAATTAGCTCTTCAAATTTATTTTTTTGCCCAAACGAATTTTATCCCGCCCAAAAAAATCTAACCCATTAAATCATGCAATTTATGATACATAATGTCTCTTAATTTCATTTTATCTCATATTTTTCGGATCCTACTATCTCATGCATCTTTCTTGAAGAATATATCCAACAACAAAAATTAATTTAACTATTCAAAAAATAATATTTTCTATTTTTCCTACTCACTTTTCAATACACACTAATAATTTTTTTATATTTTGAACTATTTTTTAGAATATTATTTTTTATTTTTGTGTATTATTTTTTTGGGGGTAGTGACCGGAGGAAAGGAAAGGAAAGGAAAATAAAGAAAATATTATAACTGCTTGTAATAAAATAACATTTTAAATGCTCTGAAAATATTTAGTTAGGGTGAAATTTTAATGTAAAATAGTTAAATTTTTGAATTTTTTTTTATACTTTAGCTCCTCCTTGCTCTAATATTCGGTATCCTAAGCAGCCCTCCCTCTCTTATTTGTGTTTCAGACGTATTGTCACTCTCAGTCTCACCGTCTCACCCTCTTCTCATCCAGCTGCGACGCCACCGGCTGCCATCAGCAATCGCCCCTCCCCTCGCCACCGGCTGCCACCAGGTTTCTCTTCTTCTCTCTCTGTAACTGTGCCTCTGTATCCCTCTCCCTAAACCCAGAAACACCCCTCCCCCAACCAAAAACCCCTCCCACCCGAAAACATCTCAGCTCACACACTCACTCTCTTCTCTACGCACAGACGAATTTCCGAAACCTCTCTTCTTTAAGCACATACAAATTCGTTTGTATTAGTGAATTTTATCCTGCCCAAACGAACTTCCAAAACCTCACAAAATCTTCCTCTCTGTTCTTTAATTCTCTGATTTATTACTTTGTTGCTATCCCTTCTTCTTTTCAGTTTGTTGTTTCCTATTTCTTGAAATGGTTAGTTTTTTTTTGGTACACATGGGATGATATGATATGTATAACAGATTATGCCATCAATTGCCATGTGGTTTCTTAGATTGGGAGGTTAGTGTGAAATGTATAGGCTCAATTTGCTCTTATTTCTTTCAATCTTAAATCGTACTTCTGTGTTTCATCATAATCACGTTGTTGCTGTGATTAAATACACGAAATTTGTATTCAGGGCCTTTCACCAATAGTGGTTGCTTTATGAAATTCTTGACATGAAATTGAGTGTTCGTTCTTAGTTTTACAACCAAGCTCTTACATTGAAAATAATAAGTTCAAATCACACTTCTATACAAACAATGATAAATTGAAATATAAATTAAAAACAACACCTAGATGGTTTTTTTTCATTAAGATTCTAGATACTTTTGAAAGGTTCTCAAAATAGGCGCCATATCTTTACAACATCCACTTTATGCAAAAATAATATATTGTAGCGTCTATAAAGTAAATAACACATTTATTAGATATTTTTAGAAATAAGAAAAAAAATAAAATTATATAATCAATGCATTTTAGAGGTAGAAATGACATAATATACCCACTAGGGATTCCACACTATTTAAGAAAATATATCAAACACTTACTTATCGCTTAAAATATAAAAGTTATTAATTGCTATAAAAAGTCTCATCTATAATAAAAGTAGAAGGGATTTCAAATCTCAAAAGACATAAAAAATAATTTTTATTTTTTGCGGTTCAAATCGTTTTAAACTACTCCAAATTTGATTCAAGGGCTACTATTAACTCTTCAAGTTTTATATTATATACCCTTCCAAACTCTCTCTCTCTCTCTCTCTCTCTCTCTCTCTCTCATACTCTTGAATCCCACTCTTTTTCTCTTGTTGTTTCTATTCTCGTTTCAATCTTCAATTTTCTTTCTCTCTCATGGATGCAAATTTTGGGCGTGAATATAAATTAATTAATGTATTTTGATTTTTTTGAACTAATTTCTTTGATTAATTATAAATATGTTTATGGTTTTGACGTTTTTTTTGTTACTCTGTGCCTTGAGGAAGGCACGGACAATTACTAGCATATATATAATATATATAATATATATATATATAGAAAATATGATAAAACTCTAAAATTTAAGAATTTTAGTTTCTAAATCTGTTTTAAATATAAATAAGGTTTCTTAATTGGTTTTATGAGAGAAGTTATTTTGTTGTTACGGGTATATTAGACATTTTTTTCCCAAATGAACTTTTAGCCAAAATCTTTCTCTGCTTGGACTTCTAGCCTAATAAATGTTAAAAGGTCTATCGGCTTTCAAAAAACCCAATTTGAAATGCTTCGCTTCGGATTTCGAGAGTGCAGACTTGGATTCAGGCCTCAAGTTCATCAATCTCTCTTCTCCCTTGCTGGCCCCGGTCTCTCTCTATCCACGCACAGAAACATGCAGGCACTGGGTCATAATTGTTTCTGACTGTAACTTATGGACTCACATTGTTTTTATATGTATTGACATGTAACGCACTTTACATGCCTTTTTTCTGAGTATCATTCAGGTGGGAGCTGAAAAGGCGATGCTATGTATTCAACTCTGAGACACCCACTCTGATATGTATAAAGCTCTTGGTAGAAATCGGCTCATATACCGTGCTCGTATATCAAACTACGTCAAAAGGGGTCAGATTGATCAAGCCATCCAAGTTTTTGATGAAATGACTCAATCAGATTGCAGAGTTTTTAGCATAGATTACAATCGATTCATTGGCGTATTAGTTAGCCAATCCCATTTTGCTTTAGCCGAACAGTATTACAATGCAATGATACCAAAAGGATTTTCTTTAACTTTTTTCACATATTCAAGATTCATTTCTGGGTTGTGTAAAGTAAAGAACTTTGAACTTATACATAGACTTCTAAAAGATATGGATAAAATTGGGGCGGTCCCGGATATGTGGGCTTATAATATATACTTGAATCTTTTGTGTAATGAGAATTTAGTGGATATGGCTTTAGAGGTATTGAAAATTATGGGTGAGAAGGGAAGAGAACCTGATGTTGTGAGTTATACTATAGTTATTAATGGGATGTGTAAGGTGAGACGGTTTGATGCCGCTGTGGAACTGTGGAACAGAATGATTCGGAAAGGTTTCAGTCCGGATAATAAAGCTTGTAGGGCACTTGTTTTGGGTTTGTGTGATGGTGGGAAGGTTGATTTAGCTTATGAGCTAACCCTGGGTGCAATGAAGGATCGAGTTAAGTTTAGCTTATCGATATATAATACACTGATTTGTGAATTTTGTCGAGCTGGTCGGTTTGACAAAGCACAAGCAATTAAGGCCTTTATGAGGAGGAATGGATGTGAGCCAGATTTGGTGACTTACAATGTGTTGTTGAATTATTGTTGTAATGAGCTAATGCTGGAGGATGCAGAAAGGTTGATGGAGAAGATGGAGAGGAGTGGGATGCAGCCTGATGGTTACAGCTACAACCAACTTCTTAAAGGCCTTTGCAAAGCCAACCGAGTGGATAAGGCTTACATGCTGATGGTGAACAAGATGCTGGCTAAAGGCTTGGTCGATGTTGTATCTTATAACACAATTATTAGAGCTTTGTGTAAGTCTTCCCGCGCACGGAGGGCCTACAGGCTACTAGAGGAGATGGGCCGGAAGGGAATTGTTCCTGATGTGGTAACTTTTACAATTCTTATAAAATCTTTTCTTAGAGAAGGCAGTTCCAATATAGCTGAGAAGCTTCTTGAACAGATGACAGGGATGGGTATGTTACCAGATCGTGTATTGTATACTACAATTGTTGATCAGATGTGTAAGACAGGGAGATTAGGGATGGCTCGCAGAATTTTCTGTGATATGGTAGGGCAAGGAATCAACCCTGATGTAGTTTCATACAACGCGCTCATCAATGGTTTTTGCAAGGCATCAAGAGTAAGTGAAGCTATGCAATTGTATGAGGAGATGCAAATGAAAGGGTCATATCCAGATGTGGTTACTTTCAAATTGATCATTGGAGGGCTCATACTTGAAAAGAAGCTTTCAGTTGCTTGTACTGTCTGGGATCAGATGATGGAGAAGGGTTTCACGCTCGACAAAGATGTCTCTGATACTCTTGTTAATGCCATCCACTCAAAAGATGCATCCTGCATGAATGTGAGGAATGGTATGTACCATATTATGCTTCTTTATCCCTATGTAATAATGCGTGTGTCTGTGTGCATGCTAGCAATCCTGAGTTCCAACATCTAAAATGGTAGCTTATATTATTTACTCTACAACCAACGGACCTTTGGTCCAAGGCTCTGCTTTCTTGAGGTTAAGGGTTCAAGTCCCCCTCCCTCTCTCCCCCGCCCCCCCAAAAAAAAAATATATATATATATATATATATATTATTTACTCCACATACAATTTCTTATGATGTATTGGCACTCAGTTGAACCACTGGTATTCCATTTCAACATGCAGTAGTGCTTATTCTGGCACTCACATGAACCACTGGTATTCCATCTCAACATGCATTAGTGCTTATTCATCATGCCATCTAAATTGAGTCCATAGTGGTCAAAAGTAGCATGCTCTAGTGCAGTGGTTGTGAGCATTTTCTTTTCAATTGGATATCAAAAAAACCTGGTTTTCCAGAGCAAGGGGGACTAAGGATCTCTGCCAGAAGAGATGGGTCATTGGTAGCTTAAGATTGATGAACTGATGCATTGGTTGCATATGGAGAATGGGATTATGATGATTCTATACATAATGCTGCTTATTTTTGGCTTAAGATGAATATCAAAAGAAAATATTTCACCCATGAGTGATACAAATAAGTCTCATTAAAAATAATATAGTGCATATGAAATTTTCAGGTTGAACTGTATGGTGCAGCTGCCAAGCCTTTTATGTAGTGTTGCAAACCCTCATCAGAAAGGATTCATTGATTGAAATTTACACCATTTGAAACCAAAGTCATTTGGCTTATTTGTCTTCCTAGCAAACTGCAGAAAAGGGCAATAAGGTTTGTGCTGCATTCTTTCCTAAATTTTTTGTCCGCAGATGATTCATTTAGAAGCTGTGCATGTTTACTACTGATTACTGGCAAACATGACAAACTTGATGCATAAAGGAAAGATAGGCGGGGCATCCTTATGGAAATCCATTGGCTAAGAATTGCCTATGGATTTACATATGTCGAACTGAAGGGTGGATAACTAGATATAATGTGATTGATGATAGTAAAAAACTCTCAAAATTTCTGGGGAGATTTGTCCTGTATTTGATAATGTAGACCATTTCAACTCCAAAAGCTAGCTAAAACCCCCTTTTTAGCTATTTTAGATACTCCTTAAAATGTGGTTCCAACAGACTAGTTATTCCCTTATTTATTTTCCATAACCCCATTTTCACTAGCTACATCTAGCTAGCCACTTATCTCTAGCTACTTCAGAAGTTGTTGGTCTAGTGTTTCGATAAGGCGATCAATGGAGAGACGATGACATCTAGTTTGATCAAACTTGAAGCATTCAGAAGTTTTTGATCAAACTCGAAAATTTTGAGGTGATTTTGTTTTGAATTTTGTGATTTAATTTAAGAGAATTTGGTTTGGGAGTAGTAATTTTCGGGAGGTGGGTTATCTCTTGTAGCCTATAATTGATTAAATTTGTACAATGTATAGTTGAATTGCTATTTTTTGAATTTTATTATTGAAAGTTAGGTAAAGTTAGTTGAAGTGGTTAGCTAAAATAGATAGCGTTGTTGGAGTGAATTTGAAAAAATGGTTAGCTAAAGTAGATAATACAATATTTAAATATATTTTGAGTAACAATTTTAGATAGCATTGTTAGAGATGCTCTAAAGAAATTTCATCAAACTATTTTATGTGTATTTATCTGATATAATTCCCTGACTTTTGCTTCTCTCTTCATATGCTATGTAGGCACAAAATGCAATGTTGCTCAAGGTTTTGTTGGAACATCATGCTTGGGCAGTTATTATGTAGTTGCTAAAAATGTATAGTTCTAATCACAAGCCAAAGCTGACTCTTAAAATATTTTCAATGCTTAAGTGCAGCTAACTCTTAAAATATTCTTTCATGTGATTCTGTGATTAATCTGGTTTTAGCAGTCTTATTGGGCGCATTTGAAGAAGTTTTGTTTTTCATTAAGTGTTTATCTTTCCTGAATTTGTGTGGTGAAGTGCCTTACCATGGAGTTGCAGCTGTTACATCCGGATGTATGTTATTATCACATCAATCTCATGGTTCTGAACTGATGCTAGTCCATGTTTTTCCTAATAACAATGTTTTTGTTAGTTTTTCATTGAGGATTCTAGATACCAATCATTTCTTTCTCTGCCATGGTGTTCATTTTAGCTGGTTATAGATTGTTTTTAACTAATTTGTAAGATTAGTGATTTTCACTGAAGAGTGCTGTGAAAAAGATTTGCTTGTGTTCAGTATGTAGGATCTCTCGTGTTACAAAGGAACACTAACTGATATTCCTTTTAACCTTCTACATTTCCTGGACAGGTATTGCTACAATTGAGCATGTGAATGGGAAGTGAATTTGTGATAACATTTACTGCCGTGGTATGGTGTTCAAATCTAGATTCATGAACTTCTTTAATATCTTTTCTTCACTGGTATTCTCTTTTCCTATTTCCTTTCTGTCTCCACATGTTTTGTGCAGATTGGAACACAATGGGAGAAAAGAAATATATAACTCNGAACTTCTTTAATATCTTTTCTTCACTGGTATTCTCTTTTCCTATTTCCTTTCCGTCTCCACATGTTTTGTGCAGATTGGAACACAATGGGAGAAAAGAAATATATAACTCAACAGATGTTAGACATTCTGATTAATGCAGAGTTGTTCTTAGGACCTCGACCAGAATTCATAAACGAAAGGATATCAAACTAGTATCAGTAGGGCATTGCATTCACTTCGCTGTACTGCTCAGAGATACTGATATCGAAGATTATGTCAAATCTTGAGGAGATTCGAGGATTAATTGCTTGCAGACTTAAAGTTGGAAGGGAACTTCATATTCCAAAAGATCTGGATAAATCTGTATGTTCAATACTGGGGGTTGTCTCCCTGAGACAAGCTACAACAATTTTGCTTAACGACCGAATGGATCTCNAGAAAGGATATCAAACTAGTATCAGTAGGGCATTGCATTCACTTTGCTGTACTGCTCAGAGATACTGATATCGAAGATTATTTCAAATCTTGAGGAGATTCGAGGACTAATTGCTTGCAGACTTAAAGTTGGAAGGGAACTTCATATTCCAAAAGATCTGGATAAATCTGTATGTTCAATACTGGGGTTGTCTCCCTGAGACAAGCTACAACAATTTTGCTTAACGACCGAATGGATCTCTTTGGAAAAGGAAACTATTGCCAGTAATTTACCAGTTCATGGCCGACTTTGAAGCCTGAGAATACATATGGCTTTTGTTTTTTTTTTTTCTATTTTCATATTTGTCGTTGTCCATGTTGACATACGTGTGTTTCTGAGGTTAAACATAGTATATGACTATTGTCAAGGAGAGTTAGGATGAAGCCAGCAAAGGCCTAATTCTTAGTTTTGATGTCATTAATTCATCGACAAATATCATGAAGGTAGGTTTCAGGCTAATCATATTCAAATTTGGAAGAGTGTTACTGCTGACTCCAAATTCACCCGCATAACTGCATTGAAAAGAAAGATTTTCGGCACTTTCATCTTCAAGCATGCAGTAATACGAGTCACGATGTTGGGATAAAATTTATTAACTCGATTTGCTGTAAGAAAAGGCCAAAGTTGAGGGCAATCCAAGTAATAATACTGTTTGGGAATATTTAGTTTGTTCCAATGATGCCTGCATAGTCTACCTTAGAATAGTACTACCTAATGAAGTTTCAAGTTGTTTTGAGTTTTAATTTTCATCCGGGCTGAGAGACTAAACGATCCTTATTTTCAACAGGGAAATGTTGGAGTTCATGCTAGACAATCTCTTGCATTTGTTAATGTCCAGCTCTGGAGTTAGGGAGAAGGTTGGTAACACCCATTTTTTAATAAAACGCTTACTACATCATGGTTTGGATTTAAATGTTGTTGAGTTTCACTTGCTGTGAATAGGCCTCTCAACAGATTAAGTTTGGATTGGATTCTAACCAATTTGAATTTAAAAGGTCCATTTGAATTCAATCTGATAATCTAACATATTTTATTTTTGAGGTTCATATCTGAATCTGTTAATAATCTAAAATTCAATCCGACCCAAACAACTTAATTAACTAAAATTTAACATATTATATCTAAATTTTAACTAAATATCTTTAAATAATCACTTACTTTTTTTTAAAATTTATATATAATTGAATTGAATATCGGATTGAATATATGTATATTTAAATTCGAATTCGTGAAATATAAGATATTGAATTTGAATTATCGATAAAAAATAACAATTTANGATTATAATCGGATTGAATATATGTATATTTAAATCCGAATTCGTGAAATATAAGATATTGAATTTGAATTATCGATAAAAAATAACAATTTATATCCAATTAATCGTATTCAAATTTAGTTCAGAATCCAATCCATCGACAGAACCAGGTGTGAGTGGGATCAATAAGAGATTCACGGGTGGGGTCTCATGAATTTAAGGGTAAAATTATCCAAAGGAAATATATGTTGCTTGTTCACTACTCTGAACCGTCCAAGTTCAGGACTTGGAGTTCAACTCAATAGTATAGTGGCACAGCACTTAAAAGATAGGTATCACTTGAGATTACTTGCCTCCCATGCTTAACTAATGTCTGATTCTTTGCCTTTTCAAGACTCCTCCTACTTGAAGTTATCATCAAGTCATCTTCTTTCCTCTCAACTGAAAAACAATTCCTTCTTGTTCATCGTCTTCTCTTCGCTCATCTTGCAAGTAAGAGTCTCTGAGCTCCTATGTATCGTCAACGTGAAACCAACCCTCATTTCCGTCTCGCGCAAGAACATCTTTCGCCAGAACATGTGCCTAACCTTCATGCTCCTTCACAGCCCCAGCCTCAAAATCAACATCTTCAGCCACAACATGGATCCAACACTCATGTTCCGTCCCGGAAAGAAGCACAACCACAACCGCATCGACACTCGCGGCGTAAAAACCTCCCACCCGACTCTCGACAAGGTTCATCCCAGCCACAGCCACAACCACAACCACAGGCACAGTCACAGTCGCAGGCACAGCCACAACACTCAAATCAACCGACAAATGGACAGCACCAAGCTGCATCCCTGAGGGTGCCAACACCGCATAAAAGTAAGCCCATACAATGGTTTCTAGCACTCTTCTGTGCACTCTTCTGGATCATAATCATAGTGGGAGGCCTAGCAATCCTCCTAGTCTATGTCATTTTCCGTCCAAGAAGCCCGAAATTCGATGTGTCAAGTGCCACCCTCAATGCAGCTTATCTTGACATGGGCTATCTGNCAATGGTTTCTAGCACTCTTCTGTGCACTATTCTGGATCATAATCATAGTGGGAGGCCTAGCAATCCTCCTAGTCTATGTCATTTTCCGTCCAAAAAGCCCAAAATTCGATGTGTCAAGTGCCACCCTCAATGCAGCTTATCTTGACATGGGCTATCTGCTCAATGCTGATCTCACCTTGCTTGCAAACTTCACCAATCCAAACAAGAAGGCAAGTGTGGACTTCCATTACATGGTCATCGGTCTCTATTACGGACGCGACCTTATCGCCTCAAGGTATATCTATCCATTCTCGGTGACAAGGAGGGAGTCAAAATTTGCTAATGTTCATATGATCACAAGCCAAGTTCGGCTTTCGATTCTGCAGAGCCAACAGCTTAGGAGAGAGATGGAAGGTGGAAGGGTAAATTTTGAGGTGAAGGGTATGTTCAGAATTCGATTTAATCTGGCGGGTTTTCTCAGATACACCTACTGGTTGTATGGCCATTGCACTATTGTGGTCACTGGCCCTCCCAGTGGAGCTTTGGTTGCTAAAAAGTGCATAACAAAACGTTGACAACGAAGGAGTTCTTTGAAACAACATAGAGGGGAGTTGCCCCGGATTTTATTTTACTACGAACGAAGGTTTGATCACTTTCTTGTTTTTTTTTTTTGAAGTGGATTCTTGTACTCCATACCACTTGATCATCCTTGAAATTACTCCTTTATGTACTAGCCACTTTTCAATCTGTATCTGTGAGCTTTCTGCTCACAATACAGATTGATAACCTCTTGTAGTAAAGTGGATTTAAGGACTCCATGTTTCCCGTTAGAGTAAGCCTTTGGCTGCTGGGGTTCGAATTGGAGCAGGGTGGGTAGGTGTCATCATATCCCATACCTGTACCACGTGTGTGTGTGTCTATATAGATACATATAGAGACACACACACACAGACATATAATATATATATATATATATATATATATATAGAGAGAGAGAGAGAGAGAGAGAGAGAGAGATTTTTTTTTAGTAGAAACCTACTATATTTACGTCATTTGTTTGATGTAGTATATTTATTGTAATTTACTTACTGAAAAAAATTATATTCATTGTAATTTTTTTTTCCGACAAGTTATATGCACTGTAATTTCAATATTTGATTTATATTTAAAAACCCAATTTATTCCTCTNGACTATTGGCTAACATTGGGTATGCTTAAATTTAGCCACCATTAGAATTCAAAATGCAACCGAATCTTGAGAAGTGCAGAACTCCATTCTGAAACAGTTCAATTGGAAAGGAAATTTACAGACACACCAAAAGCAGCAGTGCAGTCCAATTGTAGGAGCATAGAGAAGATGATGGGACACAACACAACAAAATTACCAACGCAATTAGGCAATAACAGTAGGATTCACACGTGAGGGAGAAAAGTCTTTAATTACAATAAATTATTTATACAAACTCTAGACACAAAACACAGTAGGTATCCAGGACCTTGGCCAACTCCAATCACTCTCTTTTTCGATCATCAACTCCAANAGAGCATAGAGAAGATGATGGGACACAACACAACAAAATTACCAACGCAATTAGGCAATTACAGTAGGATTCACACGTGAGGGAGAAAAGTCTTTAATTACAATAAATTATTTATACNCAATTGAAACATTATCGAGTAAAGTCCAGAAAAAACAGATGAAAGGGAAATAAGGAGCCAAATAGAAAAGGAAGATGGAAAACTTAACCAGAAAGCTGAGAAAAAAACTCAAAACCTGAAAACCTACATTAGAATTTCCTCACTTNACAAACTCTAGACACAAAACACAGTAGGTATCCAGGACCTTGGCCAACTCCAATCACTCTCTTTTTCGATCATCAACTCCAACCACATTCATCCAATCCACCACAAGCAAAAATCCCAATCATCAAAATAACCATTATTGATGAACCAGCAAGATGTCCAATTCTCACGACCTTCTGTGATAATCTCTGGAGAAGAATGGATGCCTGAGGGCTTCCCCAGCTGTCATCCTGGTGGACGGATCGTATCTAAGAAGACCTTGCAAGAGGTCTATAAGATCCCCAGCTGAATGATCTACATGCTGCATTACTACATTCTGCCAGAGAAAATTTAAATACTTAAAATTAAAAGAGAGCAAAACCAAGACGCAAACGATCATGACAAAACAATTAACCACCTGTAGACGGGGAAGCTTCATTACAGCTTTGATACTTTCCCTGGAGGTTGCACCTTCAGGCCAGTCCAACCTACCCCTTCTAGCATATTTCTCAGCATGTCGGCTGAAACAAAAAAAAAAAAGCCAAGCCAAGAGAAGGGCTTACTAATTGACAAATAAAGGAAAAGATAATAATTATATGAACTTCTCAGAAGCGCACACACTCTGCTCTTTTCAACATGGTTTGCGGCAGTGGACCCAGCACCCTCTCCATCATGGCAAGGTGCTCCAGATTCTCATGTGTCTGAAATAAAGCTTCACCCTGAAAACATCATTTTTACATTAGATTTTTTTTCCTTAGAAATTATCTTACTGCAAGGCCAGTAAACCAACAGGCCGATATACTACTCAGACTTTCGAGATACCGAGCATAGTTCCACCAAGATACACCCAACACTCCATATGTCACACGGATAACTCCATCCAAGTCCTGGAACAACAGAGACATTCATATCCATAGGCTAATAAATGTACATCGATGACAATGACAAATGCAAAGGAAAAACACCACAAAGTAAATGAAAGGAAAACATAGGAATGCATTGACATGCCTAGAATAACCTCAGGTGCGCGGTAATGTCTGGTAGAGACAATGTAATTGTGTTCTTGATGGGCATATGCTGTGCTACCAAAATCAATAACCTTAATAGCACTTGACTTCGGCAATCTCTTGTAAAAGGAAGTATCTTTTGGTGACCAAGCCGTAACCTGCAATTGAAACATTATCGAGTAAAGTCCAGAAAAAACAGATGAAAGGGAAATAAGGAGCCAAATAGAAAAGGAAGATGGAAAACTTAACCAGAAAGCTGAGAAAAAAACTCAAAACCTGAAAACCTACATTAGAATTTCCTCACTTAAAAAATTAGTCAAGGAGCATCATTGAGATCTTCACAATAGATGTAAAATGTACCTTGTAGTCGGGTATTTTCACATACTCTGGAGAAACAAAAAGTATGTTCTCAGGCTTCAAATCCGTATGGATGAGGTGCATTGCATGCATGACTGCAAATGCGTACAAATCCAACATAAGCAACCATAGAAATGCAAATAAAAATATTAATCCACCCCCAACATCTGTAGTAACATCACTCCCGCCAAAAAAAAAGTGGAACCTTTAAACTTCATAGTAAAAAATGAAAACCGCCAGAAAATTCCCAGAGAAATAACAAGGAAAGAGTTTGAGTATCTCCTACTAGAATGGTTGCCATCAAGCATGAAAAAGACTAGAGAAATGGCAGAAGTATTGACTACACACATGCTACACATTCCAACAGTTGTCTGCCAATCTCACGGACTAGATCAACCGGAAATGAGCGATAATTGTTTTTCCGAAGAAAATCGAATAAGCTTGGTCCAAGCTTCTCAAATACCTGTTAAGACCATTTAAATCCATTGACAAGTCTTAACCCCCATGAAATCTGTAAATGTGGGGAAATCATGTTACCATGAATCAATCATATACTTACTAAACAAACATGATTACGATAGTCAAACCAGTTCCGTAATTGTACACAACTGCAAAGAATAAACTCACTTAACCACCCATGCACAGTTCACCTTTATATGAATTAAAAGCAAAAGAACATTACAATACTGTATGAGGACATTGAGGAGAGTACACTTACCGACTGCCATATCGATCATATCTTCCAAGCAATTGGAGAACATCAATTTCTATCATTGCAGCTTCACGATACTTCTTAATACTTCGGACTATTTTAATTGCAACCATCTCTTTCGCTTCTCTATCCCAGCATTCCAAAACCTGACCAAAGGTACCTGCAGAATAAAAATCGAGACATGAAAAAACAAATATTCAGAAAATATGTCAGATTAGAATTCCCAATGAAAAAAGCATACAAAAGAAGTGAAGACCTAACCTTCACCAATTTTTCTGAGGATCTTATCTGCAAATATAGCAACCAAAAACCTCAGAGATGAACACTTCATGAATTTGACATCAATAAACCCAAAACCAACAAGAATTAACTTTCCCACATAAGTTGTTTAACAGAATAAGATAAAACATTTCCACACATCCACTAAGAGAAGAATAAACCAAATGGAGGAAAACGTGGCAATCTCATAACCCCAATAAAGATACCTGCTCTCAAGGAAGGATGCATCGGTCTTTCTAAGAGGCAGGAAAAAAGGAAGGGAGGGGGGGACAGATGAAGGGAAGGGGGGAAGGTGGAGGGAGAAATGCTCGTAGAGGGGACAATGTATGCCCCGTAATGGATAAACTAATGGAGGGAGATACAACACAAAAAAATTGACTACAAAAAAAACATCCTAAACATTTATCAAGACTAGATAGAATGCATCACACATAAAGTTAAAAATGTCTTCAACATGAAAAAAAAGTGTAATTACAGTGAGAAGTTAAATTCTCTCCAAGCTCAAACATGTAATGTCCATCCTTGTCATCATGTCGCCATGGTGGAGAGCCTTTTTGAGCCAGTTCCTTCACAAACAGACTAGCATGATCCAAGTGTACCCTTGAATGTCCAAAGCTTGACACATTTCCGAGGACTTGCCCATAATTTATTCCAGATTGGGCCTACACACAACCATTCATTCATACTCCATATTCACCACTATTAAAGTAACAAATTAAAGGGCAAACGGTCTATGACCACGGAAGATACAAACATTCCCTTGTACAAGTATCAGAGTTACTAAGCTTGGCGGACCATTATGTGGCCTCCCACATCAAATTTTAATTGGGTCAAGCCCAATAATTGTGTTAATTTTTTCTGTTGACATTTATCTGGTGAAAAATAGTTTGAGTTTTGGCCTACCGATTATCAGTTTTTCTGGAAGCACCTATTCATTCCCAATTTTCAATCAAGTTCAACTTGGTTAAATAAAAAGTTAAGAGTTACATTGCTGTAAATCTTCAACTGGTCCCCAAAAAATTCTATCTTTTTACACCTGACCCGAAATATTAACAAATTTCCATCAATTCAAAGCAACAGAATCAAGGCGATTTCAGTTGTTCAGTCCCAATTAACAGAAACTTAAATCTTGCCAGCCCAAGCAAAGGCTTAAAAAATTTAAAATATAAGAACAAAAACGACTGCAAATAAATCTTTCGGAGTGACAAAAGCTATTTTCTGAGCTATCTAGAGCTCATACCCAGTAAAATTTTAAGATAAAACGGTAAAAATGTCATTTGCTGGGAAGAAATTCACCACAAAAAAAAAAAATTCGGCATCAGCAAAATTATTGGTAAATCCAGACATTTGGACAAGCATGAGATCGCATGCTTTTCTTGATATTTTTTGAATGAAAAATTATTCCGTAGAAACAAATATGGGGCAAAAAAATGAGATCAAGGAAATATAATCATGGGACATTACCTTTGGAGTATGCGAGAGGTCCCATGCTAACCTCGGTCGCTTCCTAGGTCGCCGATCCGTGTGGTTGTACGGAAACTCCCTCGCATATTCCATCTCCATCCAATCGATCGAATTCCGTGTGTGAGAGAGAGAGAGAGAGAGAGAGAGAGAGATTGGAATTCGTAACCCTACTGTTGCGAGTTTTAACTTAAGGCTTGTGGAGTCCGAAACGGCTGGATTTGTCGTCCTATCATTCGCGAGTCGTTGGATTAGCTTTTTGAGCCTCATCTGTACCGTCCAATGAGTTAATTAAGGTAACGAATGGATTTGTTCGGCCACGCTTACGTCGTTGGGATTTAAACCGTGGTTGAGTTTACTTATACTCCCATTAACTTTTTGATTTTATTTTGATTTAATTCTTTTCTAGTCGTAATATTCTAGGGCAAATTTCATTTTATCCCTTGTGGTTTTACCTATTTACACATCACCTTGCTCAGGTTCTGAAATAGCACGTAACCCCCTCGCAGTTGTTGGACTAAAATGCATTATTAACTCTATTAACTTTTACATTAAAATAACCTTATTTCTGATTTCCCAAAATAACTCCAGCAGCCACCAATCACCATTAAATCGGACAATTTAGCCACCCCCAACAACCACAAAGAAGTTGAGTGTTATTTTAGAACTTGATGAAGGTAATATGCAAATGAATCAAATTGCAAAGGGATAAAATAAAGTTTGATCAATATGCTATCCTATGGATGGATTCCAAGGTGGCAGTCCTGTAATTACGTGTTCATTGGCTGTTGAATTAAGATTGAATATCATTATCCAATTTTTTATGACAATTTACCTTATTAGTCCTGACATAGATAGATAACTTATTTCTGATTGAATTAGAGAAAAAATTAATCAAAATAGGTGCAAAACCTGACATAGATGACCTGTTTGCAGACGGTGCTGACTTAGCTGTAAATTGAACATGTATAATCAAAAACTACATCACAAGTATAAAACAGAGGGTTCAGGTCACACAAACAAGTGATGGTACACCGTAACTCGAGATTCGCTTTGCCTCACCACCACCAAAGGTGTACACTGAATTTAAAAGATCATTGACCTTTGCGTATAAATATGGGAGGTTTGATAATTCTACACCTAACATTTGTGCAACGCTTTGGTTTTCAAAGAAGAAAACACATACATGAGAGGAATCAAAGAAGAAATTTTGAAACAAAAAAAAGGGAGACAATATTGGGATCAGAGAAGAGGTTCAGAAAGCTCCATTTCATTGGCACTCTCTAGTTGCATGTCTGAGCGTTGGGAACCTACGAAGTCCAACCCAAGCCATTGCCATGGCCAGCATACATATCTAGGCCTGCTTAGGCCTGTCCTTGAGGTATCCCGGATATCAAGTTCTTCAAGCTGATGAGTTAGCTCTTCCACCCTGTCCCTCAGCCTAGACGCCCTTAAATCTGCCAATCTCAATGATTTCTCAGCTGCGTCTCTTGCTGTCATAGCAGCAGCTGCTGTTTCTTCTTTGAATTTCAGCTTTCTCTCGGACTCAATTATTGCTTGCTTTGCCTCCTCGAGGTCCTGGCGTACAGCTCCCAACTGCAAAAATTGTAAAAGACACATGATNCCCCTCGCAGTTGTTGGACTAAAATGCATTATTAACTCTATTAACTTTTACATTAAAATAACCTTATTTCTGATTTCCCAAAATAACTCCAGCAGCCACCAATCACCATTAAATCGGACAATTTAGCCACCCCCAACAACCACAAAGAAGTTGAGTGTTATTTTAGAACTTGAGGAGGGTAATATGCAAATGAATCAAATTGCAAAGGGATAAAATAAAGTTTGATCAATATGCTATTCTATGGATGGATTCCAAGGTGGCAGTCCTGTAATTACGTGTTCATTGGCTGTTGAATATCATTATCCAATTTTTTATGACAATTTACCTTATTAGTCCTGACATAACATAGATAGATAACTTATTTCTGATTGAATTAGAGAAAAAATTAATCAAAATAGGTGCAAAACCTGACATAGATGACCTGTTTGCAGACGGTGCTGACTTAGCTGTAAATTGAACATGTATAATCAAAAACTACATCACAAGTATAAAACAGAGGGTTCAGGTCACACAAACAAGTGATGGTACACCGTAACTCGAGATTCGCTTTGCCTCACCACCACCAAAGGTGTACACTGAATTTAAAAGATCATTGACCTTTGCGTATAAATATGGGAGGTTTGATAATTCTACACCTAACATTTGTGCAACGCTTTGGTTTTCAAAGAAGAAAACACATACATGAGAGGAATCAAAGAAGAAATTTTGAAACAAAAAAAAGGGAGACAATATTGGGATCAGAGAAGAGGTTCAGAAAGCTCCATTTCATTGGCACTCTCTAGTTGCATGTCTGAGCGTTGGGAACCTACGAAGTCCAACCCAAGCCATTGCCATGGCCAGCATACATATCTAGGCCTGCTTAGGCCTGTCCTTGAGGTATCCCGGATATCAAGTTCTTCAAGCTGATGAGTTAGCTCTTCCACCCTGTCCCTCAGCCTAGACGCCCTTAAATCTGCCAATCTCAATGATTTCTCAGCTGCGTCTCTTGCTGTCATAGCAGCAGCTGCTGTTTCTTCTTTGAATTTCAGCTTTCTCTCGGACTCAATTATTGCTTGCTTTGCCTCCTCGAGGTCCTGGCGTACAGCTCCCAACTGCAAAAATTGTAAAAGACACATGATTACGCAAAATCTGTGAGAAGAGATCACTTAAAGGAGGAGAAAGAGGGATAAAACACAATGTAGCTGGAGTCTGTATTATCTGGAGTATTTACACATCAGCGGGTATAATGACAAAATGTCAGTGTCACAAATTTTTTTTGATCANGTTACGCAAAATCTGTGAGAAGAGATCACTTAAAGGAGGAGAAAGAGGGATAAAACACAATGTAGCTGGAGTGTTTACACATCAGCGGGTATAATGACAAAATGTCAGTGTCACAAATTTTTTTTGATCANTGAAGGTAATATGCAAATGAATCAAATTGCAAAGGGATAAAATAAAGTTTGATCAATATGCTATCCTATGGATGGATTCCAAGGTGGCAGTCCTGTAATTACGTGTTCATTGGCTGTTGAATTAAGATTGAATATCATTATCCAATTTTTTATGACAATTTACCTTATTAGTCCTGACATAGATAGATAACTTATTTCTGATTGAATTAGAGAAAAAATTAATCAAAATAGGTGCAAAACCTGACATAGATGACCTGTTTGCAGACGGTGCTGACTTAGCTGTAAATTGAACATGTATAATCAAAAACTACATCACAAGTATAAAACAGAGGGTTCAGGTCACACAAACAAGTGATGGTACACCGTAACTCGAGATTCGCTTTGCCTCACCACCACCAAAGGTGTACACTGAATTTAAAAGATCATTGACCTTTGCGTATAAATATGGGAGGTTTGATAATTCTACACCTAACATTTGTGCAACGCTTTGGTTTTCAAAGAAGAAAACACATACATGAGAGGAATCAAAGAAGAAATTTTGAAACAAAAAAAAGGGAGACAATATTGGGATCAGAGAAGAGGTTCAGAAAGCTCCATTTCATTGGCACTCTCTAGTTGCATGTCTGAGCGTTGGGAACCTACGAAGTCCAACCCAAGCCATTGCCATGGCCAGCATACATATCTAGGCCTGCTTAGGCCTGTCCTTGAGGTATCCCGGATATCAAGTTCTTCAAGCTGATGAGTTAGCTCTTCCACCCTGTCCCTCAGCCTAGACGCCCTTAAATCTGCCAATCTCAATGATTTCTCAGCTGCGTCTCTTGCTGTCATAGCAGCAGCTGCTGTTTCTTCTTTGAATTTCAGCTTTCTCTCGGACTCAATTATTGCTTGCTTTGCCTCCTCGAGGTCCTGGCGTACAGCTCCCAACTGCAAAAATTGTAAAAGACACATGATTACGCAAAATCTGTGAGAAGAGATCACTTAAAGGAGGAGAAAGAGGGATAAAACACAATGTAGCTGGAGTCTGTATTATCTGGAGTATTTACACATCAGCGGGTATAATGACAAAATGTCAGTGTCACAAATTTTTTTTGATCAGATAGTGTCACAAATTCTCTGATAATTTTCCAAGCAACCTACTAGTCACTACATCAATCCAAATATTTTTAGTAGGACAACATTTTGTTCCTTCTGTTATTTTGACATACTATATATCGTCCATAAAACTGCATTTTAGTCTTCAATTTTGTTCAAATTAATCTTGATTATGTTTTTCGAACCCAGAAGTAACCAACTGAAGCTTTCAACGTTTTTAAACTCAATCTGAGTTTTCTTCCGAACACATGATCCCTCTCCAATTTGAAACTAATTTCCTAAGCTCTCTTAATATTTGTGGAAATGCCCCCCACCTCCAAGCATTTTCTGTTGTCCAATCTAATCCTATTCCAACCAACCAACCAAACATTCGAACAAAGAGAACAGAAAAACAAGTAAACAACTTAAACCTCTTTATGCATGATTTGATAGAGGTAGAGAGGTAGGTTGGTACAAGCCTACTCATAGAGATCTAATCCAGTCCCATCTCTCTTTAACCACTAGTTATCATTTTACGCTATAGGTGAAGAACATGCCCATGTCATGTGTTTCCCGCACAGGGCTTTCCACCATTATAAATAACCAACAACTGAACTCCCACATAAATTGATGGAAAATTCCATCACCTGTGTCCTCTAATACTAAAACCAAAAAATAATTTCTAAATGGAGTTCTTGGCATCTATTCTCTATTATTTTGCCTGAAAGAAAGCTGCCAGATTAGTCATATAGTAACATGAAGTGTCTTTTAATTAGTTACCCAAAGAAAATTGTCTTTAAGAAACATGCTTAGTTATCGCCTGGTGTCCAAAAAGGTACACATCTCTTCAAGACAACACGTGCCTTAAAAACCATGGTAAGTAATCCAGCAACCAAATTAATTGCGTCACAAATTTAATCAAGACATAAGAAGTACAGAGATCAGTATTCGGCACAATCACACTCAAAAATCAGGCTAATAAGGGTTCACAGCCAATTTTTAAGCATACCTGTGCAACAAACTCCTGTTCAACAGCTTTGCCTGCAGCTGCTTCTTGCTCAGCAGCACCCTTCCATCTTGTAATTTCTTCTTCAGCAGCAGCAATGTCCAACATAAGCCCTTCTACCTAAATCATCAGAGTCATTGCAAAATGTGAGCAATTACTAATTCATAGATCCTAGGAGGGCTGGATATCAGTTCCGACCTCCTTTTATTTTAATAATTCGAATCTTAGGATCTTACGGCCGTATGATCCGAAGCATACAATTCGATCCGACTCTCTTATAGAATCCCAAATTAAAAAGATCTTAATGAAGTATGATTCGGGTCTTATGGGATCATAGAATCCCGATCCGAATTACGAATTTACCGATCCTAGTTATTAGGTTTGTTTGTTAGGCGCATTAAGCTATTAAGTTGATTCAATTTATATTTCTCGTTTTGATATTTTAAGACTCAATCCAAATGTGATTATATTGTTGAAAATTAAAAACAACAGTTAGATTTAATCTCACGAGTAATAATTGCCAAATAGTCTTCCATTTCACTCTTGTCTATTTTTTGTTTAGATGTTGAACCAATAAAACTGTTTAATCAACAACCTCTCAACTTTCCAGTCTTTTCTTTACATCCGTTTTTTCTAAGAGCTAAAAACACAATACTTCAATTTTCTTACTCCTCCTCACAATATCCCACATGTTTAACGATTTGCCTTCATTTTTAACCATCTTCAATGCTTAGAGTCTCAGATTATAGTTTCTCAAATTTAAATCATATCTCTAAGTTTTATGTTTTTTACAACACTCCGATTTGCATATAAACTAGGGTTGCATATATTTTTTGTCTCATTTTTTGAATTTGTAGGATCTTACGATTCTCAATTCGATTCCACAATCCTGAATGCTCATTCTATAGTCTTCCTCATCAATCTAAAGTAGGATCCCAATTTTAAAAACCTCTGAATCAAACAACCAACCAAATGAAAAAAGAGGAATCATAAAGCATCGTTTTTAGAACCAAGTGTTATGGGGATGTAATAATAACTTACATTTTCATTTGCCACTCTCTCCTTCTCTTCAAGCTCCTCCACACGTTGCTTCCACTGGTTGAGCTCCTTGACTTGAGCTTCCACATGCTCCTTCAATAGACTAGATTCTGCCCTTAATTCAGGAAAGTAGCATGCAAAACCAAACCACTAGTAATCAGCAAAGGCCCAAAGCTATTACAACACAGTTATATTCAAACAGATTAATATATGCAAGGTTCTCACTAAATTTATTGTGTGCAGAAAGAATTTGGGTGGTGTGCCAGCTTAGTAGGCCACTTTGTCCAATTAAGTCTAATTTTATTCCGATTGTGATACTCAATTCATTCATGGTCAAACAAAATGGACAACATGCGCACTTTGTATTAGATTCTCTCAACAGCATGCGTGATACCATCCAAAATCAAATTGTGACAAGATTTCTGATTTCTATATTCATTTTTGTTCCGCATGGGTGTATCTGTGACAATTTATGCCTCACAAATATAAACATTTTCTTTACTTTTTGGGATAATATGTGATGGTAATCTGGTCCAGATGCCACTTACACTTGACAATGAGAGGAGCCTTAAAAATTTAAGTTTAGATTCGGGAGTGCGTGATTTATCAGATAGTTTGCTTCCTTGGTTGTATTTAGGCCAAATCTTGGGGCATTTGGGTCTTGTTACAAAATGCCCGAAGACTGTTCAACAAAAGTTGGCCATTTTAGGCCGTGATTGGCCATGGTCCTCAAATCTTCTATTGGTTTGTGGTTTCACTGGTTTGTCATGGCTCCTTAGAGCTTGCTCACCTTTTTTATGCTAAGCCAAAACTCTTGGGTGGATATGGTACCATCAAGGGATGGCTTGCATGCCCCAGTGACAGTGTGTGTTGAGATTATTTTCTTGTCTTTTACTTGGGATAAAATATTTCACTTATTCAGCTCCTCCCCTATCCAAAAATGGGAAAAGGAAAAGAAATATATACGTATCTATGTGTGTGTGTGTGTGTGCGTGTCAAAAATGATAACATACTACATGGCTATAGTAGGTTAGTAGCACATTGGCTTAAAATGCCCGTATCTTCCTCTGTTCTTTTTTANCAAAAACTACATCACAAGTATAAAACAGAGGGTTCAGGTCACACAAACAAGTGATGGTACACCGTAACTCGAGATTCGCTTTGCCTCACCACCACCAAAGGTGTACACTGAATTTAAAAGATCATTGACCTTTGCGTATAAATATGGGAGGTTTGATAATTCTACACCTAACATTTGTGCAACGCTTTGGTTTTCAAAGAAGAAAACACATACATGAGAGGAATCAAAGAAGAAATTTTGAAACAAAAAAAAGGGAGACAATATTGGGATCAGAGAAGAGGTTCAGAAAGCTCCATTTCATTGGCACTCTCTAGTTGCATGTCTGAGCGTTGGGAACCTACGAAGTCCAACCCAAGCCATTGCCATGGCCAGCATACATATCTAGGCCTGCTTAGGCCTGTCCTTGAGGTATCCCGGATATCAAGTTCTTCAAGCTGATGAGTTAGCTCTTCCACCCTGTCCCTCAGCCTAGACGCCCTTAAATCTGCCAATCTCAATGATTTCTCAGCTGCGTCTCTTGCTGTCATAGCAGCAGCTGCTGTTTCTTCTTTGAATTTCAGCTTTCTCTCGGACTCAATTATTGCTTGCTTTGCCTCCTCGAGGTCCTGGCGTACAGCTCCCAACTGCAAAAATTGTAAAAGACACATGATTACGCAAAATCTGTGAGAAGAGATCACTTAAAGGAGGAGAAAGAGGGATAAAACACAATGTAGCTGGAGTCTGTATTATCTGGAGTATTTACACATCAGCGGGTATAATGACAAAATGTCAGTGTCACAAATTTTTTTTGATCAGATAGTGTCACAAATTCTCTGATAATTTTCCAAGCAACCTACTAGTCACTACATCAATCCAAATATTTTTAGTAGGACAACATTTTGTTCCTTCTGTTATTTTGACATACTATATATCGTCCATAAAACTGCATTTTAGTCTTCAATTTTGTTCAAATTAATCTGGATTATGTTTTTCGAACCCAGAAGTAACCAACTGAAGCTTTCAACGTTTTTAAACTCAATCTGAGTTTTCTTCCGAACACATGATCCCTCTCCAATTTGAAACTAATTTCCTAAGCTCTCTTAATATTTTTGGAAATGCCCCCCACCTCCAAGCATTTTCTGTTGTCCAATCTAATCCTATTCCAACCAACCAACCAAACATTCGAACAAAGAGAACAGAAAAACAAGTAAACAACTTAAACCTCTTTATGCATGATTTGATAGAGGTAGAGAGGTAGGTTGGTACAAGCCTACTCATAGAGATCTAATCCAGTCCCATCTCTCTTTAACCACTAGTTATCATTTTACGCTATAGGTGAAGAACATGCCCATGTCATGTGTTTCCCGCACAGGGCTTTCCANTCACTCTTGTCTATTTTTTGTTTAGATGTTGAACCAATAAAACTGTTTAATCAACAACCTCTCAACTTTCCAGTCTTTTCTTTACATCCGTTTTTTCTAAGAGCTAAAAACACAATACTTCAATTTTCTTACTCCTCCTCACAATATCCCACATGTTTAACGATTTGNGCCTCTCAACTTTCCAGTCTTTTCTTTACATCCGTTTTTTCTAAGAGCTAAAACCACAATACTTCAATTTTCTTACTCCTCCTCACAATATCCCACATGTTTAACGATTTGCCTTCATTTTTAACCATCTTCAATGCTTAGAGTCTCAGATTATAGTTTCTCAAATTTAAATCATATCTCTAAGTTTTATGTTTTTTACAACACTCCGATTTGCATATAAACTAGGGTTGCATATATTTTTTGTCTCATTTTTTGAATTTGTAGGATCTTACGATTCTCAATTCGATTCCACAATCCTGAATGCTCATTCTATAGTCTTCCTCATCAATCTAAAGTAGGATCCCAATTTTAAAAACCTCTGAATCAAACAACCAACCAAATGAAAAAAGAGGAATCATAAAGCATCGTTTTTAGAACCAAGTGTTATGGGGATGTAATAATAACTTACATTTTCATTTGCCACTCTCTCCTTCTCTTCAAGCTCCTCCACACGTTGCTTCCACTGGTTGAGCTCCTTGACTTGAGCTTCCACATGCTCCTTCAATAGACTAGATTCTGCCCTTAATTCAGGAAAGTAGCATGCAAAACCAAACCACTAGTAATCAGCAAAGGCCCAAAGCTATTACAACACAGTTATATTCAAACAGATTAATATATGCAAGGTTCTCACTAAATTTATTGTGTGCAGAAAGAATTTGGGTGGTGTGCCAGCTTAGTAGGCCACCTTGTCCAATTAAGTCTAATTTTATTCCGATTGTGATACTCAATTCATTCATGGTCAAACAAAATGGACAACATGCGCACTTTGTATTAGATTCTCTCAACAGCATGCGTGATACCATCCAAAATCAAATTGTGACAAGATTTCTGATTTCTATATTCATTTTTGTTCCGCATGGGTGTATCTGTGACAATTTATGCCTCACAAATATAAACATTTTCTTTACTTTTTGGGATAATATGTGATGGTAATCTGGTCCAGCTGCCACTTACACTTGACAATGAGAGGAGCCTTAAAAATTTAAGTTTAGATTCGGGAGTGCGTGATTTATCAGATAGTTTGCTTCCTTGGTTGTATTTAGGCCAAATCTTGGGGCATTTGGGTCTTGTTACAAAATGCCCGAAGACTGTTCAACAAAAGTTGGCCATTTTAGGCCGTGATTGGCCATGGTCCTCAAATCTTCTATTGGTTTGTGGTTTCACTGGTTTGTCATGGCTCCTTAGAGCTTGCTCACCTTTTTTATGCTAAGCCAAAACTCTTGGGTGGATATGGTACCATCAAGGGATGGCTTGCATGCCCCAGTGACAGTGTGTGTTGAGATTATTTTCTTGTCTTTTACTTGGGATAAAATATTTCACTTATTCAGCTCCTCCCCTATCCAAAAATGGGAAAAGGAAAATAAATATATACGTATCTATGTGTGTGTGTGTGTGTGCGTGTCAAAAATGATAACATACTACATGGCTATAGTAGGTTAGTAGCACATTGGCTTAAAATGCCCGTATCTTCCTCTGTTCTTTTTTAACCTCATTGGGGACAATTTCGTAAATTTAGTTTCTATCCTTATCATCCCTTATCCCCTCATCAAAAACTCCTAAAGTCCTACGTTCTCTACTTCCACTTTTTGACCACCATTGCCTTCATCCTCTAAAGTGAAAACCAGCATTCCTTTGGGCAGCTTTTGCTGAAGATAGTTTATGGGTTTCACTAGTAATAGATTTGACTTTATGTGCATGCCTTAGTGTGCTTGTGTGTGTGTGTGAGAGAGAGAGAGAGACAAAGAGGGGGGGGGGGGTTATGAGTGAAAAAGATAATGATTTAAACAATACAAACCAAATGACGACGAGGATAATAAGATTATCACTATCAACGGTGTTGGTGACTGCCATTAGTGGCGAACTCTAATTCCCCGTCCCTTTTCACTTCATGGTTGCCAGCAATGAACACAGTCAAAGGTGCCAAAGAAGAAGACACAGACCATAGCAATCAAGAGCATGGATCGTCCTAGGCAGCCTTTGCTTATTTTCTATTTTCGTTTTTATTTTTACTTTGTAATTACTAACAATGCCTTCATTCTGATTAGGTGTGGGGGTTTTTGGAATCCAATAAAAATGGGTAAAGCGATAACATCCTGTAGTTGTGTTGTAGATAAGCATTCCCAGGTTTATGGGTGTGTAAAATGTGTATATATTTTTGCAAATGAGCTACACATAATGTTGAAAATAAGCTGAAAGCTCCAGCGTCAAAGTATCTTTGCTATAATGGTTGTTCATATCCCCATCATAAACAACTAAAATATTGCACTTTACAGGCTAATTAAATATAAAATTTAGAAAACATAAAATCTGCCATGTCATGACCATTCTTCCTTAACATCTACCATGTCATGATCATTCTTCCTTCTTTCATGACACTCGAAGTGGGTGACAACATCTGAGCTATATCATGTTACCATTAGAGTTTCCAATTAAAACCCGCTCTCTAGGCTGCCATAAGTCCTTACTTGTTAAAATATAAGATTTTTGTAACACCCCAGGTTTGAGATTTCTTTTATTAAATGATTATCTTATCCATTTGATATTATTACTTATACTATGATGAAATAAGAACAAGCAATAATATATATAGGCATTCAAATTCCAATACATATTAGTTGAAATGGAAGTACCTTAGTTCATCTACAGAATGCTGCAGCTCAATGATCTCAATTTGAGATTGCTTAATGATACTCTCCAAAGCACCAGCCTGCATGGTGAACATTGATAACTAAGCCAAGGGAAAAACAAAATGAAAATTCAAGAAACAAATTCAACACGAAGAACACTGACCAAAGCATATATTTCATTATCTTCACCCGTTTTATCATTAGAAGTCGGAACCTTGCCATCCACAAGATGATTGCTGAATTTAAAATCTATCCCAGCCTCTCTTAACCCATCTTCTGCAACTTTAAACAATTCATTTGTTTTGGATGATAGATCCACTGACATTCTTTTTGACAAAGCACTTCTCAGTAAACACCCAACATGTCCTTTCTCCTTGACTAACTGAGAAACTGTTTCATTTAAACTTTTTACCTCACGATTCTTCTCGTCCACCAAATTCCTTGTTTTTTCAAGTACAATTCTACTTAATTCATTTAAAGATTCCAATCCTGCTAAAGAAGCACGTATGTTCTCCTCCATATCCGTTTCTTGTGGGAGAAACAAGGATTCTGACAACTCCGAATGGTCCAACTTGTTAGCATCGACAATCTTAATAACATCATATATGTTATCATGTATTTTTGATACATAGTTTAACTGATCAAGCACTAACTCCTTCTGTAACTCCATCTTAGACTCCAAGCACCTCAACTTATCATCATACTCACTCACCAATTGCCTCAATTCAGAAATTTCATTCTCTGCCAAATTTTGTTTCTCGAGCATCTCCTTTTCAATTTCGGAAATCTTCCCATCCTTTTCAGCTATACATTTTTCCAAATTCTCAATAACTGAACTTTTCTTTCCCACCTCTTCTCTTAACCCACTAATTGTGGCCTCAAGTTGTGAAACTTCAATTGCAATCTCATAATTCCGCTGCTCCATCAGTTCCCGAGCCTCATTCCTCGACTTTGCAGTGGAATCAATCTGTCTTAAAAGCTCTTCAACTATCTCATTAATCCTCTTAATCACTCCATAAGCCACAGCCGGCAAGCCCGAATACTTCTGAGATCTCGGCAGTCCAGTCCCCACGAAATTCTTATAACTACTCACTTTTCCTGATATTTTTTCGGTTCCAGACACTAACATCTGAGCCGCTGTTTCGATCTCCGACCTGGATGAGTCCTTTGCCTTCACTGTTTCCTCATATTGCTTCGCTAACTCATCTCTTTGCTTCAAAATCTCATCTTTTAGCTTACTTATTTCAGCTAAATCTGCTGATAATTTTTCGTTTGATTTCAAAGCTTCCTCTTTTTCGTGCAAAGCTTCATCTCGTTGCCTCGTAGTCTCGTCTCGCTTTTTGATTGCTTCGTGGGCGAGAACTTTCAATCGATTAAAAGACACTTGCAATTCCGATTTCGAATTCTCGGCTACTTCGCGCGCTCTGCGCTCGCGATCAAGCTCGGCAAAAAGTTCTTGGAATTTCTCTGCGGTCACATCTTCCGGCGATGGACTCCTGATATCACTATGCACCGCATCGTCGGCTTCGACATCGCTCAACACGGCGTCGTTCTCTTCTTCACCCGCGCTCGCCATTTACTTATAGATACACAAACACGCCCACACACAGACACACACAGAAGACTTGCTATAACTGATCAAGCTTACACATCTCGAATTCAATGACGAATCAAGAACAATTAACGAAATCACAATCAAGCAATTCGGTAATTACGCACAGAATTAATTTTGAGGAAAGAGAAACCCTAAGTTTGAATTCGAAGAAGAAAAGATAAACAGGTTTGATATAAGAGTTGATTGGTAATTGCGATTGCTTCAAGCAGTATATTTTAGGTAAAGATTGAGATAAAGTGAGGCAAATCGGTGATGTATGAGAGAGAGAGAGAGGAAGTCTCGTACCTTTGAGAAGTCCGACTCTGAAAAGAATTTACAAAGACAGAAGGAAGATCAATAGCTACCAACCAGACTCTCTCTCTCTATTTTTTTTTCCCCTCTTATTGCACCGGAAACCACACGGTAGATTGGAACAGACCCCTAAGTTGAAAGGGACAAAGTGTAATTTATTCAAATAAAAACAAGTTAGTGTCGTACAAGAATACATCAGAGCCCACCCACTTGTTGTAGGTTCAAATTGAGCTGGCCACAAGCTTTCCACCGATGGCCCAACTTATGCAACCTACCTTTTATTGGGCCTAAATTATCCAACCCGAGTATCGTGATTTTCAACTTTTTTATAACTTTATAATTATTTAATCAAGTGTGGTGTAAAGTCATTATATTTTCTATTTTTCAATGTAAAAACATATTTGCAAAACACTTTTTCCAAAGTTTTCTATAGAAAGTGTGATTACAAACAAGATTTCATATTAAAAAGAGTTTTATTTAAGCCATGCTCTCATACAAGTAATAATAAATTAGAAAATAAGTATGTAAAAAGGAATATATTGTCAAATTCACAATATTATAAAAATTGAATATTAAAAAAAAAGGCACCTAAACAAATGTTTACATAACTACAAGTAAATAGATGTTTTATCATAATAACTTCAGGTTCTAATCCGATGACCATCACTTAAAATAGTTTACAAGCTTCCTGCTTGGTACAACAATTTTGATATCAAAACCTATAATTTTTTTTTTTAATTTAACAATAAAAATGTTCAGACCAACTTATGCGTATCTCAACTAATCCCCACCCCTATCCAATCAGACATAAACTATCCACATCAAAATTAAAATATTCATTAAAAAATAAATCTTTCATAACCTAATCCCAAAAAATTATCAAAATTCAAATTCAGAACATCTCAATTTACAACTTATTCCCAGGCATCTCGATCTACAACTTGTTCTAGGGCATCTTGATCCACAACTCATTCCTCTTAAAACCTATAAATGTCCTTTAATAAAAGAATAAAATATTACCAAGAAGAAATATGAAAATGCTAGAGTTGAGTTTGTGGCTAAAGAAAGGAATTTTTTCCCTTTTTTTTTTAGCAACTAACTATATAAATAGTTTAGTGACACATTTCTTTAAGAAAATAGACTGCCTAGTCCATAAGGAAAATCAGTCATTAAAACTGATTCTAACTTTCCTGCAAAGCCAATCTGATTGTTCAGTTTTGTCAAGTACTGGCACACATTTCACACCCACATTATGAGGTAGCACCACCAAACAATCTCATACCAACTTAGGAACAGGTAGTATAACAATCTTAAGGAATATTGATTGCAAATAAAATAAAAAACTATCGAATGCCAGACTGTATACTCCGAATACAAGATGAAACATCAAGTAGTAGATGTGAAATTTTTTGATTCAAAAGTCACGACTCATTCTTCCATCACATCTCCGCCTTCAGTTACTTCCACCATCTCTCTCAAAGGTGTAATCTTTGTCAGCAGAACCTCTGCAACCATACCAGAACATAAGCAACAGAAAGACATGGCATCCCCACAAGGAATGGATCCATTTGTAGGCAGAATATAGAGGGGAGCTTTATTTGTTTTCGGTCCACGTATAATAGTAAAGTCTTTCAAAGAACTGGCAACTAGCATATTAATGGTATCAACATCCAGGAAATGCAGTACTTAGTTGATGCAGGACAATATTAAGAGAGAATTAAGAGAAAAGTGGGGAGAAGGAAGGGAAGGAAGGAAGATGTGGATTACACAAGTTTATCTATATGCAGTTACAATATTTAACACTTTAAGCAAAAGTGCATAATGATCTAATCTTAATGCTTAGCAACTAAAATCAACTCATGAACATATAATCTTCCAAGCCCTTGGTGATCCACATCATTAATCCGACGTAGAAGTGTTTGTTAGCTTCCAATGATTGAATTTCTCCAGGAGTGTTTGTTATCCATTTATGTAATAATATCATCCGTGATAAAATTACTTCCTTAACCCCAAGGAAATGAACAAGTTACCAAAAAGTTAATTTGCAGCACCGTACCAAAAATTGCTCTTGAGGGTTGAGTTGCACCTTGCAAAGGACAAGTTAAAACTATTCGTGATCGACCACAACATTTCATCATCGACCACAAGTAACCTCAATCAGTTAGAATAATGTTGTGATCGATATAAAAGAAAAAACTTCAATCAGTTGTAACTTAACATTTCAGAAGTGTAACTTGACCTATCAATAATGACATATCATTATTACCGAAGGAGATACCATAACCATTCCCTAACCTAGAACATACGAGCTCATAATATTCATGCCTTGCAATTATGAGGTATCAATGAACAAAGAATTAATGTTTAGATGCAGAATCATAACAAGGTTTGCTCCAAGTGAATGATATCAAGGGAATTAATGTTTGTCTTCTTTTTAAAAGAAAGAGAAAAAAAATAAAAATCAAAGCAGCCATATGATATGTTTAGATGCAGAATCATAGAAGAACATGATAAATCTAGCAAAAAATACAATTGCTATGACTTCTAAAATGCATATAGTGATGTTGAGGAGGGGCATACTAACCTGTCTTCTTAGGAAATGTATAACCTTGTGAACTGACATAAGTGCGAGGATTTGGCAACATGTGGTTTCTCAGGTAATCCTTGTGCCCCTGGACAAGCCAACATGGTCAAAAGAAGTTTAAAAGGAACTACTCACAAAATTTATGTACGAATTATATGAATACTGTGTGCAAATTTCTCATTCTTTCTAGAGTTGCTGGAAAGAACCAACCTTAGTTATCACACAAATATCCACATTGCTTCCACTTCCCAAGTCATTAAATATGCCTGAGCAGATAGCCTCGGCAACGAGCTTTATTCCTTCATCTCTCTGTCAAAACCAAAAAAGAAATGACAAGAAAATGGACAATTAATTAACACGAACATGTGCCATACAACTAGTTCACGCTAGTCTTAAGAACTACATTTATGCCATGTTCAACAGCAGGAGAAAAACAAAAATAGAGAGAAAAAAAGAGACGCTCAGAGAGAAGTTAGATTGGTCATAAAAATTCAGTGTTATTTACCAAAAAAAAAGAAGTTAGATTGGTCAAGTTTTCCAATGTCCCAGCACTTCTTACAACTGTAGTAAAGGAACTTACACTCAGCCCTTCATGGTATTTTGATTCAAAGATGGCCATCGCAGCGAGGGAACCAGATCCCATCGTAGCAAATGGAAGAGTGTCCGTAGATCCATGAGGGTAGATCTGTGATATCCATTTAACAACAACGGTCAGCACTTTCTGATAGAAAACGGAACAAGAGATGTCTGTAAGCAAATAACTCACAGTGTGCAAATGTGGGCCCGTGACATCAACTCCACCAAGCACCAAAGCAGCTTGCACATGACCTTGGTAGCTAATTAAGTAACAAAATAATCGAGCTTTTTAAAATTATCTGCTTAGACATGAAAAAATGAACTTTTTTGGAGACAACCACCTCAAAAAATAAATGCTTACTTAAAAAGATGTGATTTCAGCATTGTAAGAGCTGTCACGACTCTTGATTCACGACCAGTGTGATAGCGGTGTAGCTGCAGCTGGGAACTGACCATGTCTAAAAGGACAATGATGATAGCAAATTTGCAATACAAGATAGTAAAATGGATATTTAAGGGTCTCAGCAGATTATTAAAACATAACATAGAAAAACAAATGTAAAAGGCATAAATTAAGGGTGTTTTTGTTAACATTTTCATTATTATGTTTTTTTTTATAAAAAAAACAGAAATAATTTTTATTTTTTCTGTGATAAAAATTGAAGATATAAAATATGTTCGGTAGTCATTAATATTTAAAAAATTATAAAGCCAAAAATAAAAAGCATGTTTCGCATTATACCAAAAATCCATCACCCAAAACCACCAACCATGCAACACCACCAAAACCCACCACCCAACCCTCTGCAAAACCCACCAACCAACCTCACCGAAACCCACCACCACCAACCACCAAAACCCACCACCCAAACCTACCACCCAATCCCCGTGCAAAACCTACCACCCAACCCTCACCACCAACAACCCCAAAACCCACCACCAACAACCCTCGAAACCCACCACCCAACTCCACCACCCACCACCACCACCAACCCCTAAAACCCACCACTCAAACACCCTACAAAACCCACCATCACCAACCACTCAACTCTTGAAAACCCATAAGCCAACCACAAAAAAAATCAAAGAAAAGCGACAGAGAAAAAGGCAAGAGAGGGGCAGAGAGAGAGAGAGAAATTGAGAGAGGGAGCTAGAAAAAAAAAAAGTAAAAGAGGGAAGGGGGAAGGGGGATTTTTATATTTAAGCAAGAAAATTTATTTCTTTGTTGCCAAGGAGAATTGAAGCCAGGATCTCATTAGATCCCATTGAAGCTCCCACGTGTATTTTGGTTTTTAGGTGTTTATGAAAACGCTTTTTTTGTGTTTTTATTTTTTGGCCTTATTTTTAAAACAAAGTTTCTAAAAAGAAAAAAGAAACATATCACAAACACATTTACATTAATTTTTTTGGCAAAAATTAAAAAAGAAAACAAAAACAATGAGTTACCAAACGCAACCTAAGATATTACGTCGATATATGGAGGAGGAAACTGCTCTCTAGCATGCGGATTCAAAGAAACAAGGCAATCTTCACAAGTTTATTGGTTTGATCACGTCAATGTGAACACAATTCTGGAAGCCAAAAAATGTGTGAGCATGTTGGTGAGAGTCAAACCCTCACCACAGATTTAGTATATATACTCTCTCTATTAAGCTACATGAATTTTGTCATATACTACTGTCATTTATATACATACATTCTATGTGTACATAACTATCTTCTGCATGTATTGACACTACAGAGTGCGCTCCAAAAAATATGTGTGTGTGCGTGTTCTTTAGAAATTTATTTTCTCACACTCTTGCTCCTACCTCTTCTCTACATTCTCGTATTCTAGTGCATGACACCACATTAAATAGCCATCAAATAGGACACAAAAATCGAGAAAGATACCAGTCACCGCTTCTGTATCAGCTGCAGTTCCAGCTCCACAGCAATATATATTTGGTGCCATATAATGAATTTTCTCGCAATTCTTATCAGCAACAATGGGGCCCTCAGTGGCTCGTGTATCTGCTCCAAGAATTACACCATCCTGGAATTACAAAGATGAGTTAATAAGTTTCTCACAAAGTATATTGACTTCATTCTGACGAGTTGATGAAGGAAAAATCAGCAAGGGAATACATAAAAGCAATGCTATTTAACCAGAATGAACTATACATTGAACCATCTCAGCCATTAACCTGAAAGGAAAAAACGTCCATTTGATCGTTCTTCAGGTCGAACATTTGTAACATTTATCTGCTCCGGTTAACTTTCTCTAGTACTGTGGGTAAGCACTGGGGGTTTTTGGAGGGGTCCATCTCTGTGTTGCAGGAAGAGATAGGCATGTGTGCCTCATTGACAACCAGATGATCTAGGTGCTGTTTTCCAAAGGATAACTGTAAACTTCTATGATTGGTTTCCATAGGATAAACAGAGAAACTATGTAACCGCCAATGAAGCAAAGATAAATAAACTCATGGGGCAAGCTTATTTAGTGGAAAATAGAAGAAAATGGTCGAAGTACTTATTGCCAATGTAACTCAAGCAGGATCTTGGTGTTATTTTGCTTGTACTTCTTTCACTGGAAAAATTTTTCTCTACTACTTCTAGACCATACTATTCCTATTATATTGTCAAATCCACCATTTCCTAAATCAAGAATGGAGAAATGGACAGCGCCGACACACACATTTATATATAGCAGATTTCATAAACATTTAATAATCTAATATAATTTCTAGACTGGTGGAACCGAAGCAAACAAGTACTAGTAGAATAATTATTCTCATCCTCCAAAACCTTCTTCAAAAAGACATTCATGCGACTTCTGTTCTGTTGTCAGTATATTTAAGTAAAACTTCAAATTAATAGTATAAAAATAATATACTTCACCATGGTATAATAAGATAGTATTTGTCAAATTTCCCAGCTGTGATAATAACAGGTCATCAAATGTCTAAAAAGTGTCAATGTTTTGCCAAAGGATTGTGGACATTGAGCTGGTATACTTTGGGGCACATAAGAGAAGACGAAGTCTATATGGGCACGCCATGTTAATTTGTTAGAAGTGTCCCTGCTCGCATTTCAATATGCAAGATGTGGAATTTTTATTCCCTTTTCCCCATGTCAAGTAATCTTTAGCATTAGTTTAGGAGTCAACGGTCCCCTGCCTGCTGTGGGTAAACTGGTGGTACAAGAAATCAAAAGTAGAAGAGACAATAAAAATATGAAACATAGTAGAAAAGTGGTCAGGCAATCCAGGTCAAATGCTATCTTAGAGATAATAATTTCCACACTATAATGTAGATGGACTCATACAAATTCTATCTCTGGATATAATGCCTAACATTTAAGACTACCTATGTCTGCCTTTCTTTGTAGTCTTGGTTCCAAAACTCAACCCCAATAAAACTCCGGAAATCAAACTCAAGCACATAGGATAATAAGATTAAGAAAATAACAACTGCATTCATACTATTTGGCCAAATATAGAAACCCATATTTATAGTGTTTCGTACACCTCTTCAGAAGAGTTGCGACTCTTCGTGTAATTGCTCAAGAAAGGTTGTTACCATTAGGTTAAGTGACTTTTGAAACAAATTGCCAATAGGCACTTTAAACACCAACAGACAGTTAAATATAATATGTATCATTATTAGTGAATATAAATAAATAACTAAATAATTAAAGAGCATAACATGGCCAACAAATTGCATAACTGTTTTTTCTGCTAAAATTGTTCAATTACCCAGATGCAACAAGCCAATCTTACGACTTCCAATTAATATGAATGCCTGACAATTATCATTTTAACAAGGTAATGATTTCATAACTTTTCTCAGATTAAACAATGAAGTAGGTAACTTTTATAGACAAAAAGGAGTAAAAACAAATCACATACCTGGAAAATGAGACCGACAATGGTAGTCCCAGTCTTGAGAAACGACGGACTCTGAGCACCTTTCTTCGTTAGCATTTCATTCCTCCTACACAAATCGAAACTGAATCCACCCTTTGGAGGAATATCTACTGCTACCTTAGACATCTTTAAATAGCAATGGACCTGCTCATATTGAAATATCAACAAAGCTTCCATTAAGACCTAATAATTTCTTGTAGAACCTTATCTAAAAAATTCGTGTAAGGAACCCTAGTAGAAAGACATAAATTTGATTTAGGCCTTTTGAATTGATGCTTCGATACAAGTTGAAGATTGGGGAAATCTTCAGAATTTACTTCATTTTATTACCATTAAACGCACTACCCTCTGTAGATATACTTACGGAAGTGAAAAGCCGAAGAGTGCAGGACTGATCGATGAACTAAACAGGCGAAGTTCAGAGAGAGAGAGGCAGGCTTGGGAGTTGGGGACTTCGCAAAAATGGAGAAGGCTTGGGGCAAAAGAAATGAAGAAAGAGGGTGATTGTACAAATCCTAATAAGTTAACCAAAAGTAAAAAATATTGCTTTTAAGGCCCCTATATATCTTGAAATTCTTATAAGTACCCTTCAATTAACTCTTTTTCTTACAATTACACCCCTATCCCCATGATCTTTTCTTTTTCTTTTTCTTTTTTGGACAAAACGGGCCACCCATCTCTTAGTGCCAAGGCCCATAGCCTTACAATCGTGACAATGGTCCATCGCGGATTGTTGTATGGCAGACTGAGCTACCACTCAGCTAGGTGGGTTGTCTTGAATTGAGAAGCCCTTTGGGCCGTGGGCTATTTACCTATGAGAAATCCCACCCACCATTCCAAGCACTAGCCTGTCGGGCATAAACAAGAGGCTGTCACTAAATTTAGAAGTCGGTAGTGTAATTTATTGGGTAGAAAGGATGCCATGCACAAACGGGATTATAGTCTAAGGAGTTGATACATTGTCTCCTTAATTTTATTCATGGTAAATCATCTCTCATGTATTTAAATAAGATTTATTGTATACAAATGAGTCTCACTTGTTAATAACAAATGATTTGTTAAGAAAAATATTAGAGAAAAAATGTATTTGAGGAAATCTGGACCTAATTTTTTTTTATCCCTTCAAAAAGTTTAATTAATTTTTGAGAGAATTACATTCACATCTCTCGAGATTTATCACTTAATCACTTGGATCCTCTAATATTTAAAATAATACACACAAACATCTTGAAGTTTATATGCACGTAACACTTAAACCGACCCTTATCGTTAGTATATCCGCTAGTAAATTATACCGAAATTCCTTAAAGTTTACAGACATGTAATATTTAGACCTCTCAAGTTTAAAATATTACACTTAGACCAAGAATATTCTAATCATAGATAGAATATCAAATATTTTAGATTTTATAACCAAAATTCATGTTTTATTATCTCATTTAATGAAATAAAAATAAAATTCAAAATTTAATTTTTTTTTAAAATATATTTAATATACAATTATACTAGCTATTGGAATAAAATTAAAAAACTAAATAAGGGGTTAAACTATAATAGACACAATATCTTATATCTTTAATTCCACAGTATATAACTTGAAACAACATCATCCACCTCACACATAAAGCCAGCTCAGCAAGTACCAATCCTTCGCAGAGTTTTGTTTCTTTTCTGCCGAGTTTCATTGATATTCATACCAACTAACCTTGACCATCGAACATACACATACACAAATAAATATATACGTACACAAACATACTTGAGTGAGAGAGAGAGAGAGAGAGCACCTGGGATTGATAGAAATGTAACTGTGGAAGTGGCAAGGAAAACCCAGAGAGAGATTATAGCAAGGGAAAGCTGGGAATCACGAGAAAACTACTTTCCAAATGAACTGAAAATCCGAGCGAACAAACGTGGGTTGGGTTGGCTTGGCTTGGCTAGCTATAACCCTTCACAGATTTCTTGAATCTAGCTTTGTATAACTGGTGTGTTAATGCATTAACAAAGAATGAAACTGAAAGAGAGAGAGAAGGAATTTTCCTTGAAAAGAGGAATTCTACTTGATATTATACCCAAGTTTGGGGCGAAAATCAGTGTTTTTGAGATTGAAAAGAAATCTAAAGTCACACGGAATTATGAATTATTAAATAATAAATATTTAATGCAAATGCAACTCTGATAAGTCAAATTAAAATCAATAACCACCAGATTCAGTCATCAATACATAATATTAATGGGTTACTCTATCAACTTATAATTTTTTAATTTGATGGTAACACTACGTGACGATAATTTCATAATTTTATTGTTATATTAAATATTTTCTCAAAATTTGTGAAAGAGAATTAGAATAGCTTGTTCCTTTGTAAAAATCAAATCTTTGTGCAGATTTTGAATTTTGATTTTTTCTAAAACAAGGGTGGTTCAAATCTTTAAAAAAAAAGGAATATAATTAAGTGGGTATTAATAGAATTTTCATAAGTGCAAACTTTAGTACTAGATTCATATTGAAAGGAAACTATAATGACATGTTGCCTTTTCTTTTTTTTTGGTGGGATTGCATTATACTTATGTGCACGTCGGCCATTACTTGGGTGGATTATTATATTCATGTCCTTATGGTTTAAGAGTGATTAAGAGAAGTGAATATTCTTTTATGAATAGATTATTTATCACGACTTCAAATACGAATTATTATTTTGTAAGCGGGTCTCACATTAATATATTATGGATGATCTAAATTAAATAAAATTTTAAATAATATATATTAGAAATTATATTTATCTATTATAGAGTTTAAGTTAAAGTTATCTTTATCTTTATCATCATGGAATTCTCGTGTATAATAACATTTTCATTTATTATTCGTATAAAAGTTAAGTTAAAATAAAAATTTGTCGTTAGCAACACACAACTAGTTATATGGAAGAGAATTCACCGCACCTCGTCTCCTTATTTTGCCAATGTTTATTTGTATTGAATTTAAACTGACTTTTGATTTTTTTTTTTTTTTTTTAACAATAATAGACTATATGGACAATGGGGTGAAGGGTAGGGGGTTGTGGGACTGGTGACCGGTAGTCTAGTAGGATGGGGGCAGGGAGATATAAGGATGGAGGTAAAGTGGAAGAGCCATAAATTTTGTTTGTAACAGACATCATCTCTAGTACATATTGCTATAAAAAATAAATAGGGTGCTTATTAAATTTTCATCTCAAATAATGTGGAACAATTTTTTACCATTAAATAAGTGGATCCCAATATTATTTAATGAGAGATTTTACCACATCATTTGGTATAAAAGATTTGGTAAATTTTTTTGATAAGCATAGAATTTTTCAAATAAATAAGAGAAATGTTATGCGTACTAAAATTTTTACTAAAAAGTATTTTTATCGAATAAGTTAGCAGATCCAAATTACTCTTGGACACACCAAATGCTGATTAAAATATTTTTAATTGGATATGGAGTTACCAACTCATTTGCTAAAAATATTTTTTGGTAAAAATTTTAATAAGTATAACATTGCAAAATAAATATATGTAGTTTTATGTGTGAGTCATTCTTGCAAGTCTAGCATCATTTCATTGTTGCTTAGCCACAAATAAAAAAAAATGAAAGAAAATAAAATTAATAAAAAAAATTGCGACTTGAACACAGTTCAAATTACAGAATCAATTTACTCGCGCGCAGGGTTAAAAATGTGTACATCTATGCCTCTTATAACCCCATAGTGATGAGTGTCTCGTATATTTAGATAACTGTTTTTTATAGGGCAATATTTTTTTTAGTTCAATGGTGTGGAGTGTTCGAGCTAAATTATACATACCTCAACTAATCTCTTTCTCGATCTGCTCAAAGACAGATCATTTATACCAGAACTAGAGTATTCATGAGAGATCATGGTTTGGCCTCAAAGAGTTGTGGTTATAACTATTATATTGATTGTGAATTCCATCAAAAATTAAAATTTATTATTAATCTAATAATTACAATAAAATCACGTCATTAAATCAACGAATTAGATTTAAATAGTATAAGGGCAAGTTTTTATATGACAGGTAAATTCGGGTCCAGGGGATTTAAGTGGGTGGTCCAAAATCTCGGGTAATGGCCTAACGCTATAAGCTAGGAAATTGGGGGGGGGGAGGGGGACTAAAATGAATTCCAGAAAGTGGACTTTGACCCAACTTCACACAATGGTTTCTGAGTCAGTCAATCACGGGCGGCTCTAAAACGACATTTGTAAATAAATTTTTTTTCAATTATCTGTATCGTTAATTTTATCATTCTTTCTTTCTTGTAATATGATTGATTTTAATTTTTAAGTAAGTGTTTATTAATTTAAAATTTTTTATTAATAATATATATATATATTTTTTTATATTTTGCATCTAGGATAGTTCTTTTGTATATTTAACTCTCATCGTGAATATTTTTTTATTATTATTTTGTTATATTATTTTATTATTTTTTATTATTTGGGATTTATTAATTATTTATTTGCAAAACTTTAATTCATTTTTCTACGACGTTTTGTTTGGTAGTAGGAATAAAGAGATCATTTTAAAATTCAATTATTTAAAAAAATTCTCATTATTAAGAAAGATTTTTCATAACCAGATAATTATTTTCTAGTTATCATATTTATAATATATAATCAACAAATTAGTCTTAAATAACCCTAAGGTATTTATAATTACAGAATATAACATAAGCCTAAAATTACAAAAAATATAAAAAACAATATAGTTTGATTTATCATGGTTATTTGAAACATTAAAATTTGATATTTTAGTTCTTTCTTGATCAAAGTTTGTAAAATTAAGTGAGTTATATTATGTGAGTTTAATTTGGTGTATGATTTAAAATGAAAAGTTAAGTGTGTGTGTGTGTGTGAGAGAGAGATAGAGAGAAAGAGAGTTTTGTCTGTGTTTAATTGGAGATGGAAGAGAATGTGTGTTTGTGTGAGAGAGAGAGAGAGAAGAGTTTTGCTTTTACTATTCTTGTTTTCATCCACTGAGTTTTGATCGTTGCAACAAAATGTGTGGGTTATACTTTTAGACCAAACTATTGAATTTGAAATTTAGTTGTTAGATGTATACTTTTTAAAATTTTTTGTGGAGTTTATATTGTCATGTATTTAAAAGTTTGGACTGAATTATACTATACATTAAAAAATATAGGGCTTTTTTTGTAGTTAGGGCCTAAAACCTCCGTTTTTTCAGTCACACTATTGGGTCGGCCAATCAACTACAATTAAGCCTGTCAATCATATCGGATGAATGATTTTTTGGGTCACGAAAATAAAGGAAAAATAAAGTGGAGCATGCTTGTAGAGGAAGTGTTTCATAGCATATTTCCTTGGATCAAGCAACTGCAAAGACTGGTTCATTTTTTTATAGTTGAGCTACCATTTGAGAGGGTCAAGGGAGAGATAGTATAATTCACTTCCAACACAATCAATTTGAGAAGAGATTCTAAGTTGGGTTCTAACCTTGAAGAAATCAGGACCCTTTGACGTGGTCAAATTGCTTTGGCCACCCATCTAGCCGTCTACGTCGATCTATACAATTTAGTTTCCAAGCAAACTTGATAGGGTGGCACATCATAGATCAAAATCCCCTCTAATACAATTCTCTAATTTTTTTTCTTGACAAATCACTTATCATATATTATTAAAACCCGCCCATGTGTGAGCTATCAACGGGATCCAAATGAATGAAAACTTAGTTTTCAAGTTCTAATTTTATCAAAATGCACTTTTATTCAACCATGTCTTTGATTCGTTAGGTATGGTTGACCTAGAATTTGCAATGTTTCTAACTTATTGAAACTTCAGGCAACGAGACTTGTATGATGCATCTAGGCATTGGGTCAGCAGGCTCGGACCCACCTAAGAATGAATTGGGGACCATCAATATTTTTCATTAAAATCATGTCGTATCTAATATACAAAGTTCTCACGTATTACAAAACTCTCTAACTATAACAAAATATGAAAAAAATCAATTTTTATTTACATGCATTCCCATTTCTTCTTGGGTTCAAGCCAATTGGAATTATGAGTTCAATCAAATTTTGGCATGCCCAACTATTCAAAATAAGCCAAGCAGGTGCATGAACAAAAGCAATAGAACGATAGCCAAATTCAAGCAACATGTGACTCAGTTTGAATAGTTGTCCATCAATGAATTTGTCTAGTTTTATTACCAAACACTTCTATTTGAGATTTAATTACATTCCAAACTTATCTCCTAAGTAACTTTAGATCATATGAGTTTCTCCCATATTTCTATGAAAAAATAAACTTTTAGAGTTTGAATTTATGACTGTGTAGTTTTTTGGGAGATTTTTGTTGAAAAATTATTGTCATTGAACTAATTTATAAGATATAGGGTTTAAATTTAAAAATTCTAAGTTCGAGTTTTAACAATTTTTTAAACTCACGTTATGAAAAATTTATTTCAATTAAATACCCTAGTGTTAACGTGGATAACTTGTCTTTGATCAGATCAAAAAAAATTTAATCAAAATATACATAAACTGATCCGAACTCCCTAACTGCGAATAAAAAAAATAAGTTTGAAATTCGGGAGTCACAATTGTGCCGAGCATGCGCATTAACACACCTGACGAGCCATTCTAAAAGCAATTTGCGGACCCGCCCAATTCAGTGGAACTTCGAATCCTGCAATTTCATTCTATCTATTATAATAAATAGGAATAAATAAAGTCGGATGGCAAGAAGTGAATCCGTGGATAAGGCGCTGGTCTGCGGAACCAGAGATTCTGGGTCCGATCCCCAGCAGAATCGTTTTTATCATTTGTTTGTATTTTTGCCACACCCCTTTCCCACTTTCAGTTTGTTTTCGGCCCGAAAAAACCTGAATGTCTTAGGTAAATTCTGTGCTAATTGTAAAATCCGAAGCTACGATGAAGTATACTAGCTTCCGAACTACACGATGGTAGTATGGTGGACGGCAATATCACAGCACCACACAATAAGAGCAAGCCATTAGGTATGCCTTGTCACACGATCAGATTAATGCAAGATCAAGTCAAAAGAAAAAAAAAACTAGTTTTACGAAAAATCACAGGATCCTTGCAAAGCTAATCATTTATTAAAAAAAGTAAAAATTCCATAATAAAAAGTCAGAACATGGTACTAAATCCAATGGCCAGGTTGTTACTTTCTTCACACACACACACACTCACACACACATATATATATATATGCAAGTCTAGACTTTTGAGCTAATAATGATCGCTGTTACAGAGGCTTCTGACATGCTTCTTTGATCGGAATCTGAGGATCAGTGAATGAGCCATCAAGAATGTGGTTGGCTACCCATATATTAGCAGCTTCGGTATAATGTACGCCATCCCAGCTGACGTATTCAGATGGATTACGGCAAGCAGCCCCATAAACTTCAGTTCCGTTCACTATTGCTGTGTCCCCACATTCAACATAATAATCCTCAATGTGTCCGCAGCAATACCCAAGAGGACTAGCAAATCCTGCAATCCTTATATACCAGAAGAATGAGAGAGAGAGAGAAACACACACACACACACAGGGACAGAGAGACAGAAAGAGAGAGAGAGACCAAGCAGCAAAAACTTGAATAACTTGGAATTACCATTGTTGATGGTTACCAATGAATTTTTTTTATCTCGGCAGGTATCAAGAATTAAAAATCATGCCAAAACATATATGCATACCTATCATATATTCTTTTTAATTCAAAGCCAATTCTTTCAGGGGGTCGTAGGATCTCTACTAACAGTTCAAGTAGAATGAATTATAAAATCCCGCCCTTTGAGATCCTATAATCTGAGATTAAAACTATTCTTATCGAAAGTAGAAGTGAGAACGACATGTATAGGATAGCCCTTCCATATATGATGATTAATCACTCTTACCATGCTCCTTTGCATGGCTGATCAGGTAGTATTTAACTGAATAGATGTCGGCAAATGTAAGTTGTGCATCTTTAAGTTGGGTTCGTAATTTGTACACCCTTTCCTTAAGCTGCTTGTTGAACTCTTGAGCCACCTCATTGTAGGACTTCACACAACCATTTTGATCTCTATTGCCAGGCTTTGGCGAATAAGTTAGCGCCAGATAAGGCAGGCAGCCAATTGGACCTGTATTATGTATCCAGAATGCTCTTGCTCCTAGTTTGTAGAGTTTCTGAAATTGTTATGAAAAAGAAAAGAAAAAAGAAAATAAGCAACAATCCATAAAACTAATTGTTAGTGGAAGAAAAATAAGAGAAATATAAATACATATGATGCACTGGCAAGTTATTGTCTGAAAGTGTGTCCATAGCAAAATACAAATAATAAAATATTCTACAAGATACATGCGCACAAGAACTTGATATTTCATGCTGTTTGGCAGAACTGGATTTGCAAAATTCATGGACTGCATTATGCATGAAATAATCTGGTGAAACCCACTAGTATCTCTCTCCACCCAAATCCCAATTCCATTCTTTTCTAGAACCCCATTGCTTCCTGCAAGCACCTTCACTTTCATGGTCACAACCCTTCAGGATTGGAGCTGGGTTTTGTGTTTAATGGGGCCAAGCTAAAATCTACTTTTATTTCTAAATCGCCTACCATTCATGAATCAAAGCTCCATTGACAGGTTCGATTTTTCCCTCTCCCTCTATCTCACAGGTTTAGTATCAAATCAATAGAGAGCCTTTCCTTCGGTATGAATTGATATTATTTCAACCCTATTGCTTCCCAAGGAAAATTTCGAACAGGATGACTGGTTAGTGTGATGAGCTTATCAATGGAGCCATGCACTACATCTACTTTCCACTAATTGTCATCACATAACCATTATTCTTAGTAAAACTGACAGTAAATTTAAAATTAGTTGAAAAAGTACAACCGGTTTTATTTTGATTTTCAAACACTGCATTACTGTACCATGGATGCTGAGGCCAAATGCGTGAGTTGGAACTTAAGTGTGGCTTTCTTTGGCAGACATTCATTATTAGTATGTTCTGGAGATATTTGGAAAAATGTGAGCAGATGATTTAGTTGTTATTTTTCACTACCCGAAACAATAATGTTACCCCAATTGAATTCTTCCAAAGATGAAAGAACCAACCAGAAAACAAGTATTTATGCAATAAAAGTCTCTTTATTCCAAATACCACAAGCAATTAGACTGAAAAAACATTACCACCAAGAAATAAGCAAAAGAATAGTTGATAAAAGTGAAGTTATCTTTCCCTGTCCCCCTCAAAGATTCATTGCGTCACTGGCTACTGCTGTTTATATTTCAATGGTAGGTTTTATATGGCATGGAAAAATTAATTTAAAATAAACCTCAATGTCAGAATAATATTTTAGCAATGGATCATGGAAAGATTGACCTGACACTTTGACATCGTGATAGAATATCAGGTTAACTCCTTTAAATGCATCGAATTGGCCGAATCCAATTTCTATTTCCATGAAAGAGGCTACTGTTTTGACGGAGCTAAGGGTGTAAGAGATCCTTTACATACCTCTACATCCAAAGAAAACTGGTTGATTATATCAGGAATAGATAGCAGTACTTGCTCCTCTGTTACTGATATTAGCCCAGCATGAAGATCATTCTGTCCGCTATCTATTGTGTAGAGGGCCTTTGGAAAATCCTCGGGTCTAGGGAGGCGCCCGGTTTTTGATTTATGAGTTCTTAACTGAATACCAGAAACCACCAAATTGTGTCACAAGAAATTCAACACTCAAGTATTTATCCTCCAAATCAACAATGTGTAAAACTCTACACAACTTTGAGTTACTTATTTCCAACCTCAATGGAGCGTGCTTTGAATTGCTCAAACTGCAAAACCTGTATGTCAAGAGAGAGCGGGTTAAAACCTGCCCCGCATAGATTAGCATTGGTCTGCTGAATGGTAGACCCGCTTGCAGCAAAATTTGCTCCATGTTGGTAATTTGTTCCAATAGAATCCAGATATGCACTCAAATAGGGCAATCCCAATTCTTCAGCTACAGAAATTTTGGTGAAAACAAAATCAATGCACACGCGACCGCCAGAGGGGGGGGATTCTATAGCTTCTAAGGTTTGGGTCAGAATTAGTGAAGCAGTAACTGGCTGCTCTTGGAATTCCAGAAAATGTTTTGTCCAAGGCTGCGGGTCATCCTACGGTGAACTTGAGCAGAGGATACAGTTATTTTGCAATTGCAACAGAAAAAGACACCCTGCTCAATTGCAATCAAATGAGCTGGGATGTGGTCATTGCATTTAGAAATACTGAACTAAACTTGGTTCTCATGGCATAGAATTTTCAAATCCTTTCACATATATTTCTTCGGCAGCAATTACCACTTCCAACTCAATTTGATTTTCTATTTAAGAGTCCCAAGAAAAACACCAAAACAAGAAGAAAATTTCCAGCACTAAAGGGCAGGACTTGACCATGAAACCCATTGCACAAGCAAAGGAGTTTTTAACAACAATACAAATATCAACTTCATAAATCAAATTACCAAAGGTATTACATATTTTAGAGGAGCACTATTAATGATCATTTTTCCAAAATGAGCAAATAGTAAACCTAATATATCTTGTTGTGGCAATAAAGCCAGTAATAACACAATCTGGAGAAAAATAAAAGGTCAAAAAGAAAATGCACATCATTTACCTATAAAATCAATTATTAGACGCCCATCAGAATATCGGCCAGAAGGTTTACCAAAGAAGGTCTCGCCAAAAGGAGAACGAAGCCAATTAAAAGCCGCCGATACACAGCCTGTATCAGAATTTGAATCACCAAAGTTGTAAATTGCTGGAAATTGACATCCATCTGACTTTTCAAATCTCAACCCCATTCGTGGTTTCTTAGACATGAAGATTGAATAGGTAGCAACTAAAACAACTGCCACTGCAACTGCTTCCATACTTCTTCTTCTTAGCTTCCAACTCCCACAGACACTACTGGGTCTCACCCAATCCATATGGATCTCACCTTATACTAGCTCTGTCAGACCTTTTATCGAACAGAAGGTATTAATTAGCAGAACACAGATAATCAATGGAATTGCATAAATACAGTTGATGAGTCCAACTCCAACCATCAACTGCTTGATGATACAATGAAATGCAGAAGACTTGAACACTTTTAGGTACTACGTTGGAGAACAGAGACTGATCCGTGAATCAGCAGTTGACTTCCATAGATTCTTCTCAGATGCCAAAGTATCCAAACGTTTGAGCAAAAATAGACGGCAATGGATTCCAGGGTATAAACAAGGTTGAGAAGTCGAAGTCCCGAGTGGCAGACAAGCAGATATTAAAAGAATAAAGGGGAATTTTCAGCCATAAAAAAATCTTCCAAAATACCAAAATTGTTTTTACATAAATATCAAACCATCTTTCCACATAAAATTCGATTAAAATTCGAGTTGATTAAAATTTTTGTTGTTATATATTAAAATTTGAACTGATTAAATTTTATTTTTTTTCGTATTAAAATTTGATTATATGAAAATTCTTTTTTTGCGTATTAAAATTCGAGACGAGTTGAGCTCTACCAGAGATGTTACCGAGACTTAAAATTCACTTCGAATCGATTAAAATTTATATTTTTTACTTATTAAAATTAGATTCAAGTTGTTTAAAATTTATTTTTTACCTATTAAATTAAAATTTATATTTTTGTCTATCAAACTTCTGGCTAATTGAGTTGATTAAAATTTAATTTGATCCGATTAAAAATATTTTTTAGTTGACTCGAATAGAATTTTATTCAACTCAAATTTTAATATATAAAAAAATATAATTTCTAAAAAATTCGAATTTTAATACATAAAAAAAAAATTTAATTAGCTCAAATGAAATTTTAATCGGTCTAAATTTTAATACTTAAAAAAATTTTAAAAACAAAAAAGGTCTTGTTGAATATATATTTATCTAGAAGGAATGTTTTGGAAACTGCATTATAGTTAACATCTTTAATTTGATAGAAACATCAGTAAAGATTCAAAAAATAGAAGGAATGTTTTTAAAATATAATAAACTAGAAAATGTATGATTAAAGCGATGGCATTTTGTACCCTTAAAAGATTTAAAAATGTTTAGTTTACACCCTCAAATATTAATTTTCTTATATTGTACCTTTAATATCATAGAATGACGGCAACACGGTCCTTATACTAACCTTTGGTAGGGGCTCGTTGGGAAAAGTTTCACAAAACTTTAAAAAGTTGGTTTCGCCGTTTGGGAGAGAGAAAGAGAGATAGTGGAAAAGCTGAAAAGCTCCTATGAGTAAAGGGTTCACTGGGGATTCATCTTGAGACTTTAGAGAGAGAGAGGGACATAGATCTGTGAGTGAGGGAGTTTCTTAATGGAGTTTTCCCCGTGAGATAGAGAAAAAAAATAGAGATTGGGGGGATTTCAGCATTAGAGAGAGATATCTGTGATTTTGGGGCTCACTTTCGCCAGAGAAAGAGAGGAATCAAAATTGCCCACCGGTCCTGTTATTCGGTTTAAAAAAAATAAGCTCAAAATTTGATAACTTAGATAGTTGGTTCGTCCGGGCCTAATATTTTTTAAAAAAGAGCTCGGGCCTACCCCAAACCCATTACCTGAAAACCAACCCAAAAATCCTGTTCGCAAAAAGTCAGTTAAAATCCAACCAAAGAACTCACCTTGCCCAATGGGCCCGCTCGCCCAGCCCAGTCAAAACATGAATATGAGTCTTTTAATGTCCAAATTCAAAATTTTAGAAATTTAAATATTATAAATAATATATTTTTTTCTTTTTCATGCATTAAATATACATGCTTAAAAAGTAGAGTTTTGCAAATAATAAATAAGTGGGTATGTGTCAACCTAATTAGGATATACTCATTCTATTGTCATGTAGTTTCTCCCCTATTTATAAATAAAATTATTCATTATTTACTTTTTGTCTATTTTAATTTTATTTTTAATTCAAAAATATAATTTACAAAAATATTCATTATTTTTAAATGAAAGTGTATATAAAAGTCCGTCTAGTAGACCCGCCAGCAAGCCTTCCCAACAAGCCCAAAGGCCGTGCTAGTGAGTAGCAAATTGAGCTACAGGTGGCCTACCTCTACTCAAAGTCCAACCCTATCCGTTTGATAGATTGGGCTACAAGTACCTTATCTCTGCTCAAAGTCCAATCTTTTCCGTTTGATAACTTACAAGCACTGGAACCTACCTTACCCAAGCCCAACTTGAAAAAAAATTCACGGGCCGAGCCCGGCCCAACTCAGCCCATGAACACCCCTGGATTGGACAAATTGTATACATAACAGTTTCACTAGTTGGAAGAATTGCAATAGGCACTTCCCAATCAGATTGTCAGATTTTGTAACCCAGGCAACCTAAAAAGTTCAATGTCACAACGCACACGGCGTCGTCCAACTCGAACCCAAACACCCCTCTACGACGTCGTCGTCTTCAACCTGTAGCAAACAAATCCAGAAGCCACTAATCACATAACCCCGTCTAACACGAAATTTACTGTATATTCAGAAATTTAGGGCTCAATTACACCACACAGGCAACAAAAATCATTTTCTTTTAAACTTACATTACCCACGTTCGAGATTCAAAGCCTTACAACAACTTGTCATTGAACACTGAATTCAACTTAAACTAAATAATCAAAGGAATTTTTCAATAAGCCTAAATCAGAAGTCAATATCAACAAAACAAGGGGAAAAAATCTGTGTGGCAGCAATACCATATATCATCTCTCAAAAAAACTGATTTTAGGGTTTCGATTTATGGGAATGATTGCTCAAAGAGTCTTCTGTTTCGAGCGAGGATTACAACGAGGAAGACGAGCGTGTTGGTTGAAGAAGAAGACGAATGAAAGCGGGCTGTATGGGTTCTAGTTGGACGACGTCGTGTGTGTTTGGCGGCTTCTAGATTTTTTTTGCCAAAAGGGCGCCATTGATTTCAACTGTAGAGAAGCTGTGTTGTTGTGACTTGGCAAGCTGTGGCAAATGGAGGAGCAGAGTGAGAGAGTTGGAAAAGAGGGAGACGGTGGTGACGACCGTGGGTGGTGGCTGAAAAATAAAAGGGGAGAAATCATATGAAATAGGAATAAAGCCCAACACAAATCGGAGGTTAAAGTAAGAATTTGATGTAAGACGTCGTTTAATAATAATTTTTTTTAACGATTATTAAACATTTTATAGAGAATTGTGATATAATTTTTTTCAATATTTTAGCACTTTTAGGATCGAACAAGATCAAATAATAAATTAAGTATAATTGTAAAATTAGGATCTTACAAATGAATAAATTAAATAAAATCTTAAAGAACAAGAGACACAAATAAAGAACCAAAGCAAGATAATAAGGGTGTGAGAGAGGGAAAAAGTTGGAGAGATGCAGTAAGAGTGGAGGAAAAAATAGTAAATAAAATTTGCGAGAGATTGTTACTTTTAAAATTAAAATTTGATAAATTTAAATTTTTTTAAAAAGTTTTGTTATACTTTAGGGCTTTATATAAGATTTTAAACGAACTTGTGAAAATATTGTTACATTTTAAGATTTTCAAAAAAATTTTAGATAAACTTGTAAAATTTATTGATCCTTTAACTTAATCTATTCAAAAAGGTCTCAGAGTATAAAATTGAACTAAGGTCTAAAAATTAAACTGGGTCATTAGGGCTAAGGTCTGAAAATATTTAGGGCCTTTAGGGCTCTAAACGACTAGGGTCGGCCTTGATATGCCTCTTCTTATGCAAAGGATCGAAGTGTGTTTGTGCATTTCGTAACAATTATAATCTCAGCTCGTCTCTTATTGTCGAGTCTTCATCCATAAAATTGATTAAATAAGACAAATTAATTACTGGATGACACGCAGTG